TAGAGCAGAAAGGCGAGAGAAGTCCAGCTGCCTGTAGCTGTGACAATCTCTGGTGGTACGCCAGCAAAGAGGAGTTTGACGGCACCTCCTATACAGAAACTATGACCGAGGATATGTGCAAGCATAGCTGATGAGCAGATATGGTTGCAAAAATTGAGGAATTCATGCTTGAGGAGCATCTTGGATTGAGAAGAAGCAGTTTTATAGGCAAAGAGAGGGGTGGATTGATCAGAGGACGAGTTCATGTTGAGAAGGTTCTTCAAAGCTGCAACAGGGCAGAGAGTATTGTTGCGTGTGGTAAGAGTAATGGAGGCACCAAGTTCCTTTGTGGTTTTGGTCCAGGGGATATGGAAACTTGCAGAAGAGGAACCATCACGTAACTTTCAAAACGTGATTCTGGGAAACAATAAGAAAGATTAGAGAAAAGAAGAGATGGCACACATGATGGAGCAAAGGACATTATATCTTTCATCAAAAGCGGCAGCAGTAGTTACTGTGACTTCGCCTAGTTGGCAACAGCCAAAGAAAGCGCATAGGGCAAGAGCCCATATGGCGGCATGGAGAGGAGTAGAGAGAGTGAGGGAACATCAAAGAGCTAGTAAGTGTTCAATAGAAACAGGAGCTCAGAGAGGCTGTTTGTGTTTGGAACCTTCTTTATTTGCCGAAATACATGCAAGGTGAACCCATTCGTCATCACCAAACCAAGGTGCATGATTGACAGTATGCCATGCATGAATACCAGAGAGCTGGGAATGGATAGTGTTCCCGGACTGCTTCCCTTTGTATTCGCCAATGAAAGCACAAAGGAAAGGGTAAGAAGCCGGCTTTCATGCTTCTTCGTCGATTCCCCACACATCACAGAATTGAGTAAACCGCAGTGTGCCTGTGATGTATGTGCTTTTGGTGTTTGGTGCATATGCACCATGGATGGTCATCATCGCACTTTTGACTAGCCATGGTGGAAGGGAAGCCAGTAGATGCTGCCTGTGATGAGCAGCATGTGGAGTATCCCAAACAAATAGATGATCAGCAGCTGGGACATGAGGGCATAGAGCATTTTGAGTGATCTGGCGTCCAGGCTGAGGTTTTCTTGGTTTAATAGTATGAGACAAGGAGGCAGGGATGTTTTGGTGGGAATCAGGTTGTTGGATTGGAATAGATGGGAAAGGCAGTGGAGGAGATGAGTTAAGAGGTGTGGTTACAGGAGTCTTGAAAGGATGGAGGAAGCTTTGACGATATGTGGGGCGTGGAGGAACATACGATGAACCACCCACAGTCGTCTCGACGACACGAGTCGCCAGTTTGAAAGGATAATCTAACCTGTAAAAAGATGAAGAAGTCAGAATAACGAGAGAGAGTGAGGAGGCTAACCTAGGCATGAAGAAAACATGAGGACAGCTCATCAGGGAGCTTAAAAGATGGGAACATCTGCTTCTCAGCAGGTCCCAGTTCTCTGCGCAAGATGGGATCAGCTGGGTTAGCATGAGACTCAATGTAAACAGGTTTTATGATGATTGATGTGGCCGTGAGTGCCAGGTGCATACGGCGGACGGCGAGATTCACATGGATGTTCCCATGCAGCCTTTGTCAAGGGCACCAATGGTACCTTGATTGTCAGAGTGCATGAGCAAGTGTGTGTCGCGAATGCATCTTGATTCTAGAAATAGAACCAAAAGTTTGATAGCCACCACCTCGAGCCAGCAAATATCTCGGCCCTCAATCTTCCATGAAGGCAAGAGTTGGAAGGCAGCCCATTCTTCACCAATGATAATTCCGATACCCCATGAAGTGGAAGCGTCGATGTATAGTCCAAGATCTGATAAAGGTCCAGCAGGACGAAGAGACCGAGAGATGCCAGGCAAAGTGAGTTTAACGAGCCACCACTTGAGGTCAGTGATCAAGGAGTGTGGAGGGTACTTCATAAGAAATTCGTCACTGTGGAATGAAGATGTGAAGTTAGAAAGAGAAGGGAGGTGAGAGTGGCTGTCGAGGTAGACAAAGGCGACATGGCAAAGAGATCCGTGGATCTTCTCTACATCATGTAAGTGGCAAGGTCATCCTTCAAAATCCATGAGGAACTGGAGGACACACTGATGGAACTTATTTCTCTTTCCATCTGGTAAACTGACAAGCTTCTGGGGAATGTCCCAGAGAAACCCGATGAAGGTCATCACAAATGAGAAATGTTTGTCGCCCTTTCATCATGCCAGGGAATACTGAGGGAGGATACGCGATGGAGCATCTTGGATCGATCATAATCGTAGCGGAAAGAGCCCTCGACAAAAGGACCAGATTCCGAAGGGAATCAGAAAGCCTTCAAATTGTCTTCATATTTCGGTACTGGAAAGACTCCTTCAGCCCTCCAAATGTCGATGACTGCATTAGCGATCATGCCAACATTGCTGCTGGCGCAGGCGGCCCCAAATGGGTGAGTGCAAGGGGGTGGTGGAAAGTGGATCCCGGATATAGGGTTAGGGGGGGGGGCTCCGCTAGGGGGTCGAAATATTTTTTGTGACCTACTTTGGAAAAGTCCTGCCAATAAGCCAAATCGTGCTCTGAAAGAAGTTGGGAAGTTCAGATGCACAGCAAACACCTAATTTACGTATTTACTGTCCGAAATTTTGACTGAGAGCCCAAAAAAAGTCAACAAACTTTTTTATAACACCAGTTAGGTTCGTAAAAAGTATGGCAAAGTATATTTTACATATATATTCTAATCCAATACTGTATTACAGACAAGTGCCGGGGTTTACGTGTTTACGAGCGACAGCAAGCTGGGTTCTACCTCGGGGCAATGCTCCCACACGTCATCTCGGTTTGACGCGACTTTCGTTGATCCCAACGTACTGGATGTGTGTCCTGGATACAAGGCCACCAATGTATCTGCCAGCAAAACCAAGTTCACCGCAACTCTCGTTCTGGCGGGAAAGCCATGCAACGTCTTCGGGAACGATATTCAAATTTCAGAAATTGTAGTTGAGCGTTGAGTACGAGATTGGTGAGTTCGCTTTGCGTGGCAGCATTCTGTACGTGGCTGACTACATTGCCCACAAACATGTGAAGGTTAGTAGCCGTTCATCGAAGTTGTACTACTTACTTCTTGCTTACTTGAGTATGTTTTCGACATAGGAACTTGGAAATTTCCTTTTTTGGGGGGTAAGGGGTGGGGGGTAGGCTGAGGGTGCCTTAATTTGTAATGTGACTGTATATCTAAAATCCACGTTCCGCTACCCCCTTGGGTGAGTGTGATTGATAAAAAAGTCATCTGAGGTTCCTTTGACGACGAGCCAAGGTTTGTGGGAAGGAAGAACAGGGCATGTACAGTGGAATTTCTTAATATCAAGAGTGCACGCCTGTGTACCAGGAGGTGCGTGAGAGATTTGCGTGAGCAAGAGTATAAGAAGGATGTGCAGAGAGGATAAACATGAAGAAAGGCGAGCATGAAATATAACATAGAAAGGCAAGAGTAGTATACAATGCCAAATGATTATCATCCACGATGCATGAGAGATGAATCAAGCAGGAATCATAATGCTCGGCACATGGAAGATAATCGTCGTGCATAACACACGGAAGATGATCATCATGCTCGATGCATGGGAGATGAATCATCGTGCTGATAGCACGGAACAGGAAAGATGATAGTGTTGAAATCAAATCAGCAAGCATCAATTCTTCGTGATCAAGAGAAACAGGGGAGTAAGATTTCCGGTTGTCTTTGGAGGTGACAGAGGCAAACGGATGAGTAACTACGATACAAGCTCTCCTATATATACTGTAGAGCATGAAATAAATGGGGATACAGATGAAATGCCCGGAAAAACAATAAATGTACCTTAATCCGGGTATCGGGCGCATTGCACATGCTCGCACAGCTCCCGGAATTCCAACAGATAGGATAATATAGGGACGACGTCCCGGGTAACTTGCATGAAGCAAAAATACCCAAAGAGCCACTGGGTGCGAGACCAGGGCTAGAATTGAAAACATCTCTACGCACGAAACGCAAAAGAGATATGCAATAAAGATAGAAAGAAAGGGTGGGGAAGAGATAGAGAGAGCGGTGACTCACGATGTCGGCGACCTTTGACGCAGTGTCGAAACGCGTAGGAAAGTCGTCCTTACGGATGTGCGAATTGACGGATGCGTGGAGTTTTGTTGTTTTGGAGAGGTATTGGCAAACTCTCAGCTTATCGGGCACTCCTGGGTTTTGAGGTTGGACAGAGACGATGAGGGAGGAGGACTGAAAGGGGCCACGTAAGAGTTTTTCGGTAACCTCCCGAGAAAAAGGGCCTGATAATCGACCTGCCGAAAGTTCTTTGTTTACACGGAGAACTACATGATGAAGTTTTGTTCGTACTGCCCTCTTCTTCTTTCCCTTTTTGATGCTGATGGCATTCTACACAAGGTATATACCATGCTATGACATGGCCGCAAATATCTTTCGTTGCAGAAGATCATAAGGGTCGAATTGTTGGATACGTCCTTGCTAAGATGTTTGACCGTCGTTCTTCTTGTTTATGGACAGCTTTGACGTCTCTCTCTTTAGAGATGAGCCAGAGGAGGAAGGAGAACCGATTCATGGACATGTCAACTCGATATCGGTACTACGATCATATAGACGGCTGGGGCTCGCAAAGAAGCTAATGCTTCTATCCCGTGCGTTTCCAATAACTGTTACCCTTTCTCTAACCTGTCAGTCTTGTAGAAGAAGCAATGGCTAACATTTACAAAGCCTCATTTTGTTCGCTACATGTACGAAAATCTAACAAAGCTGCAATAGCTTTGTATCGCGACACGTTAGGATTCGAAGTTGCCAAGGTTGAGGATAAATATTGTGAGCGGCTCCCTCGTTATTTCCGTCAACGCTGACTTCAAGATACAGATGGAGACGGCGAAGACGCTCTTTCGATGCGTCTCTCGCTCAAAGATTCATAGAAACGATGATCATGTGTAGCATCAGTCAATTCAAATTCTCCTTTGAACGCAGAATAGATCTCGAACGGAACAAATAATCTTTTGGCATACCACTCAGAAATACACAGTGGCAAATGCTGCATCGCTCCAAGACAGCTTGGTACCGCTTTGAAACACTACGGAGCAAGTTGAAAAGACCAAATGGTTCATCAAGACCAGCTTCAATCAATGACCCAAATGAGAACAAACGTGAAGGGCCCGGGAGGCGTACAGGCGAAGGCTGAGGACGAGGAAGAAATACCACAATACCAGAAGTGAGCAAGAGATATGAACATCCTGGTATTGTGGCTACACGCTTACTGGGACATGTCAGTAATCGAGAAGTTGCAAAGACGACTGACTTGGACTCACGGAGAGGCAGGATGACTCAGTTAATCCGCGATAGTTGGCCTGTACACCTTCTTATGCGCCGCTTTTGCTGCGTCCTGAAGCAGGCGGAGCTTGTTCTTGAGCTGATTCAAGCTCTCTTCTATACGTTTGACGCTCTCCGGGTCCGATTTGTTTCTCATGTTTTCCAGGTGTGTCTCGAAGAGCGTCACCGACTTCCCGACTTGACCAGAGAAGGATCCAGAAAGCGAGAGCTCGGAATACTGCTCAGCGAGACGGCCAATACCCACAGTTCCCTCTTCGATCTCCTTTTTGTAAGTCTCGATGGTCTCCAGGACTTGGGCAATTGAAACCGTGGCCGTCTCGTTGTCAATACAATTTTTCTCTTCCACCTTCTCACACCAGGCGACCTTGTCATGTTGATGATACGTGATGGGGTGGCGGCACTCTTTGCAAATACCACGATTATTGGCTAATCTGCGGCATTCAATTAGTTTCCAACGGCCAAGGGTGAAGCCGCCCGAACATTCCTCGTGGCAATTGGTGTAGCAAAGTGGAAAATGGCAGACGGTGTTTTGCGTGACGCTGATCTGGGTCTCCCAAATTCGCCTTTGAATGACCAGCTTGAAATTAGCCGCTCCAGAATCAGTCTACGAACACAGATGAGTGTACGGCTGTCAGAACTTTTGAGTGACTTACTAACTCCGTCCCATTGGAGTCCTTAACTAATTTTTTCAACGCATCCACCTCACATATGTTAGTCACGTTATCCCTTACCTAATGGAGTAGCCGGAGGTGACAAAACACCGTACCACATGGGCCCAGCTGGGCGGCCCGAATGGTATGATGTGCCTTAAGGAACGGTCGGGCCGGGATCGTTACAGGGACTCACTAGCACGAGGCAGCCGTCCTTCTCACCAAACGCGTCATGTAATACCGCCGGGAACATTACAATGAATGGCCTTGCCCGGCGGGGCCATTTGCCGCGCCCCCATAAACACAGTGTAATGGATACGCATGATGATAGGTCTGCATTCGTACGCAAAATGCCATGAATATGAGCCATTACCACTGACAAACAAACTCGTTGATGAATCACAATAAGGGTCTGACCTGCAGGTTGCCATGAGGCCAGGCCATGTTGGGCAGCCTAGCGGACGCTATCACTAATTCACCCCCATTCAACCATGAGCAATACGACGTCCAGACCAGACAATGGGCTCCTCAATACAACAAGACAATTCGAAGGTTATCTACAAAAAAAGTTTCGCGCACTACTGCGGGGCGATGAGATACATGTGCCATTTCCGACACCTTGGACACTTGAACTTCTCAGCGAGGTTGACCGTATTGCCTTGATTCTCGTCGAAGCATTTTGTAATCCCAGTGAGACTCGCAGGGGTTTATTATTCTATCGTATGTTCTAAGGCCACCCAGTTCAGACATCATGGGATGCCACTCGGTATTGTGACATTATAGGGGCCGCAATGAATGGGTTGCAGCCAGCCGCTGAAACGAAAGTTGCAGAAAGATACCCACCTATCTACAATCCTCCACATCATGCAACGAAGCCATTTGTTGTGACCGATATGCACCGCAACGCCCTCGTTTGGTATCTGCCGAATATACTCACCGCCGGGCGACAAGTAAGCTCTACGCGGCGGCGCGTCTGATTATCACAACTGATATTAGTTGCAGGACGCCATTTGGAAATTACTCAAGATCCTGGAACCAGCCCTTAAAATGGATAATCGTACCAAAAACTGGAGGCAAAACTCAAAGAATTTTCGTGATCCCAATCTCTGCAAACTCAAGCCGGGGACAGTCAGCATATCCCCCGCCTGGTTTCAGCAAGGGCATGAGGTGTGTTCCCCGCCACTAATTAGTAGTCTGATTTCATTAAGAGTGTAGTCAATGATGTTCAAGTTGGAAGTTGGGGCACAAATGAAAGATGACGCCGCCGGAGGACACTGGGCGAGTGAGATGCAAGAATCCTCTGCCCTTATTGGATCGATACTCGGAATTACTCATCCCCAGTTGTATCAACAAGGCCTTGAGGCGCTGACACTTCTTTCTTCCGAGGGCGGCAAATTTGTGGACAATGAGGAACAACTTGTCCGGGCTTTGAAAGTTTGGACTTCCCCATTCACTGCACTGTCGGTCATAACCAACCGAAATACCCCCGCGCATCGCGATACCAAAGGTAGAAATGAATGGCTTGACTTCGTGGTCGCATTGGGAGAAGATGACTCTGTCGGGGTCATGACCTTCCCAGGCTTGGGGTTAACAGTAGGGTACAATCCCGGAACCATAATCGCTATAGCAGGGAAAGTCGTCCGACATGCTGCTGAATTTGAAGGCGGGGAGAGAGCTTGCATTGCATATTACATGCGGAACAAAGTACAAGAACGATTAGGCATCCCGGCGGGGACATGGATGAATTGTTGTATGTATGATGCCTAACCAAGCCGTCATTTCAAAGTTGTTAGGCTCTACGTAGAACAGTAAACGATTGATACAAAAGTCGTTAGGCTCTATATAGGACAGTAAGCTAATGTAACCTGCCATTCACCAGATACTGTAATCAGTCAGTGGCTCGCCGCCGGTGGCAAGATTTACTCTGATCCACTATTGGAACAAGTAACGTCTTCGCAGTATTCACTCATCCCAAAGTCGATGGAAGACTCATGATCAGAGCCCTCTTCAGAGAATTCCCAGTCAAGGCCTGTAGATGATACAGGTGATGGAAAGTAATCATCTCTGGTATTGTCCAACGGAGATAGGTCACTTGGGTGCCCCGGCGGCCAACCAATCTCGGTGACGTCTGCCGTCGGACACGTGGGTTCGGTGACCATATCTGCGGGAGGTACCACAGAACTGTCGCTGCCCACTGAAGACGTATTGTCCCTCGCAAAGGTTGTATACCGGAATATGTAGCGACTTCTCATCGGTGGGATGCTCCTCCAAGGGCCCTTCGGGATTGGTAAGTTGGGTGGGAGTGTAAGATCCAATTGTCCCAGCTGAACCTCATCCATCAAATGCTCCAAACACTGTATGTCTGATCGGGCACCATCACGTATATTCCTCCAAGTGCCTAGGCCTTGCTCAATCCTTAACAAAGCACTCTGGAAAGCATCTAAAATCCGCGCCGCCGGGGCATTCAAAGCGGCCACGTTAATATCTTGAGGTGGGGGTGGCGGGTCTTCGGTGAGAGGCTAAACTACATGTGAAAAACGCCGCTACTATGTTGATAATAAACACGAACCTGATCGACCAATTTCAACCAGTCATGGAATGCAGCTGTCTCTTCCTCTGAATATGCCGCCGGGGGTGTCAGGGGCCCGCCGGGGTTGTTCCACCAGTCGACATGGGATGCGGCGAAAATGTTACTAGGATCATCCATGTAGGCTGGATCGACGAGAAGACCCTGCTGAGGTAGTGATGCTAGGTCCGATTGTTGGGGATGTGTTCGAAGGATGAAAAAGCTGACCCAAGAGGGCACCTTGACGATAAAGCCCGCAGCAACATGATAACCAATTGCCTTGGCGAGTCTGTCCTGGTGTTAAATATGAGATAATATTTGCAACGTCTGCCATGGAACGACACTCACTCCCTCTAGACGGAGCCCTATGGTCCACCACTGATGTTTCTGGGGGTCATTTCGCCAGTCATCTTTATGATCTTCAAATGCCTTCCAGGCCGCTTTGCAACGTGAAGCGAAGTAGTATATGCACCACTGGCCTTTTCCATTTCCTACGGGCATGGTGGTTGAATGGAAGCAAAAGGCGATGATTGATCTTAATCGGAATCTTGATAGCCAGGCCCCAAAACATGTGATCAAAATTTAATAGTCATATGACCGACGGAACTACAGTGGAAGGGGGCTTGGCCGGCAGAGACCAGCAAATGGCCAACATCGCCGCCGGGCCCCATCCCGCAAATTAAAGAAAAAAGTATGGTTCCCGCAAATTGCATGATTATGATGAGAGTCCTTTACAGGAGAATGAGCTGTTTATACTGACTATTTGCTTCCCCAAATCTTTTATTGGCATCTTCAGCAAGTCGCCTCCAGATATCAAGTTGGGCTTCAGCATAGCAGACATGTCCATGCTTCCCCGCAGTAACGGCTAGGTCCTTCCACATCGTCCACTTCTCCATTTGATGCATGAAAAACCTAGTAACCCATTCCATTTCATGAGAAGTGATGTTGAATTCCTCCCGCCAACGATGATATCGTGCCCTCGCCCGAAGCCAGTTGACCCTATGGACTAAATGGCACTTGGTAACAGACCGAGGAGAGGCTTTTGTGCACTCACATTCCACCAACCTAGAATTATCATCCATGTCACCTGACAAATCTGCCGCCCAAAACCAAGCTGGTCGGATGTTCCTTTGGCCGGCGGCGTTTGGATCCGCAACGGAGGTGTTCGCTTTCATATCCTTCAGCTCCAGCGGCTTGTACAATAACCCCACGACTTTGTCGGGGTCTCCCAACTTGCGAAGTGCACCGACGGCATGTGCATAAATCAGACGGTGATGATGAAGGACCCTTCCAACGGATAGCACCCCCGCCCAGGCTCTTGTCTTTTTTACTTTGCTTTTCTTGATCTTTCGAAGCTTCTTTCCATACTCAAATGAGAGATTGGCGATCGATACGCGGACTCCTTGTAGAGCCTCATTTGCTTGACCTTTTCTAAGTTCATACTCCTTCCACAGAAGCCCCTCCAGTTGTCGAGCCTTGAGTTCCGCAACTCCCAAAGTCGATGGAAGGGCGATTTTTACATGCTCTACCGCTTCAGTCGCTGATCTAGCAGCAGCAGCAGCCCGGGCCGCCTTTGCAAGGGCCACTTCCGCTGGAGACATCCCCGCCGCCGGGGCTCCCTCCGCAAAAAAAGCTTGCGGTGCACCCTGCTCGACATTGTCCATGGGAAGGGGATCATCAATTTCAATCACGTCGTCCATATCAAACTCTTCAGAGAATAGAGTGACATTTTCTGAAATGGTTTGTAGGATGTTTCTCCCCAAGAAGTTCATGGCAGTTCGATTAAAAGCGTCCACTCTGGCCCGCAGTCGCTCCCGGCGTTTAGCCAGATCCACCTTTTGACTTGTAGTTAGATAACGACCAAGCCTACGAATAAGCAACCTAAGTTCCATCCTATTGAAAAGAGTTAAAGTATTTGAGGCGATTGCTCAATTCTGAGACCTGGACTTACTGTGTTTCCTCAATTTTGAGACCTGTAGCAATCCAAGAAGTCTGACCTGCTTCTCCCCTAGACATCGTCTCTTGTTCCATTAAAGTGAGTTGCACATCAGCAGTCGTCTTCAAGGCTATAGAGAGATTGTCAGTTCCCATGGCCGCCGGGGTGCAGTCTTCGGTTGACGAAGGTGCCCGCCGGCGGCCACGATGTTAAATCACAAAGACTTGAAAACATATACATGCCTTCCTCATTCTTCGGTCGGACCGGTGCCATTATATCCATGGCCTCCAGGTTTTCTCTTTCCCGTTCCCACTCTGCTCTCCGAATCTCGTTTGTCCAGTTGTCAATGTCGTTGGCCAGAGCTGAAGTCTTTAATCGGTCGAAATAATCTTTGCTATCCACCAATCCAATCACGGACTTGTTAAATTTCGTGATGACAAAAGAGACAATGTTGACCATCTTATTCCAGTTGCTGTAGTTCATGTGGTCATCCAAAACCTCCGTCCTGTGAGCCAGAGTTGAACTTCGAGTGCTTCGTGATATGTCATTCAGCTGTGCCCACAAAGACTCCAAGATCTCTCCATCAACCATTCCTGCACCTGGAATAAAAGAAGTTGCAAATCGGAAGAGGCACGAGTCTTGATGGCCATGGACATGAAAGAGCCCAATAGCCATGAATAACTGGACCTTTTCTGGCAAGGAAAGAAATGGATTTTGGTTGATTCTTTCCCAGAGATGAATGTGGTATTGGCACATGACATCATAAATGACCATGACCTTAGCCCCATCTTCCACGGCCATGGTTTTAAGGGCTTCGCATAATGCATAGTCAATGTTCATCTGCCTCTCCCCCTTCTGAAAGTCAACCACACTTCCCGGGATGAAGGCACCAGAACGAGCACAAGCAAAAGCGGCGATACCAGTAGCGTCACATCCCGCATGATTTTGACTTGCATTATTCACCGCCTGGTGATTGCTGCATGTTGACTTTGTCTGTCAAACAATGTAGTTAGCCGCCGGCCTCGCAATGAATTCCACCGCCGGCCTGAATCCCCGCCGGCCATCAAATACACCACACTTACTTGGCGTATTGGCACCGGATGTGCCAGATATGCTTTATATCTAGCTTGATTGGTCATCATACCCTCCCCGTTTGTCAATGGTACATCATCCAATGGATTCTTCTGCTTCAAGTGATCTGCCGAGAAATTGCCGCGCTCTTCACCACCCTTCGACGTGTGGGCCTCGCACTCACAACTTCCGCTTCCTCTTCCTCCTCCTCTTCCTGTCCACTCTCCTCTTCCTCTTCCTGCTTTTCCTCTCCACTACTCTCGTCCTCATCCACCGAGAGGTAGGTGACGGCTTTCCTCACCACATTCCGAGCTTCGATCATGGGGATGGACTTCACCCCGGCGGCGTTAACTTTCTTCCCCCCGGCGGCGTTCGTAACCTTTGCTCCGGCGGCGTTCGTACTTTTCGCTGCGGTGGCGGTCGTTCGTTTGGTGGCGACGTCTGGCTTGGTCGCAGGCTTGGTCGTCGCAGGAGGATTGGCGGTGGTGGTTTTGGCGGTGACGGGCTTCGTGGTGGCGGTTTTAGCGGTCGAGTCCTTGGGTTTCGTCATGCCGCCAGTGATGAGCTCAAGGTCCGTTGTAGGAGGGAGATCAAGCCTCCGCGCGATGGATGGGGGGATGCACTGTCGGGCAAGACTGACAAACTTCTTGGAAGGGACGTTGCCAGATGGGTGCTCGTACAGCGGCATCATGTTCTTCAATTCGGCGAGGAGGGGGTCGAAGGTGGGCGTCTCCACATCGCATCTCGCGAGCTCGTTGTTAACTTCATGCTGTAGCATAACAGTCTCATCAGTACTTCGCTGCATGCAAAGAAACTCGTTACTCACCGCGGCCTTCAACACCACGAACATATCGGACTTGTTCACAAACTTCGCCCCATCCGTCTTCCCCACCAACATGTTTACGAAGGCATTGTGAAACTTCTCGATCGCTGCGTCGAGGGTGGCGGTGCGTGGAACGAAGCTGGCTGGCATGGCGTGGTGTGTGGTGAGAAATGTAAAGAGGTAGTGGATGGGCGGCGTGTAAACGAACTTCAAACAAAGTTTTCAACATGGTCACGCGATCATGTGACCATTGAGCGCAAACAACAACACACCGCACTATGGGCTTTGAGTCAAACAACAACACACCGCAGTAATCTAGTCTTTATCTTGTCCGATCTCCTTCCTTCAATCAGCTCGTTCCTGTGCTCAAGCCACAATGTCCTCAAAGACTGCTTCCACCCCCAATGAAGGTATGTTCTGCGGCTATCTTACCATCCATACAGAAACTGATTGTCCACCTCGCAGAACCAAGACCGCTAAATTTGACGCGCCCGCAGCGGCACCAAGTGGAGATTAATCTGGAGCGTCCAGGACGTGGGACCGCCGCGAGCAACCCTCCGCCTGGGAACGCCGCAAGCAACCCCCCGCCGGAAAGCGAGGCATCCTGTGCGTCAACCCAGCAATCTTGTGAATGCTCTTATAGCTGATGTCTTACCATTCCCAGCAGTTATGTCGTTCAATCTTGATCGTCCCATCCGCAACGATCATACAACAAACAATGAACATGCCCCGCATCCCAACCCTCCGATCAATCTAGATCGGCCAGTTAAACGACCATCGGTGACAAAGGATCTCCCTAGTTTCAACCTTGACCATCCTGCTCGTGTTCAGAAGCCAACGACTGAGCAGCTCAATCAGGAATTGCATCCTATCGATCGTCACTCCGTATTAAACCTCGATCGCCCTGTTCGACCGCCGGCGACCCCTTCCTTAAATCTTGACCGCCCAATGCGACCGCCGGCAGCCCCTCCCTTGAATCTTGACCGCCCAATGCGACCGCCGGGTGAATCGACCCACAGGAACGATACCAGCTTGGAAGGTCGCATTTCGCCAGAGTTAAACCTTGAACGCCCTGCCCCATCTACGTTTAACCTCGACCGTCCAGGACGAAAACCTCCTCCAGTTGACTATGATTTCTCTCTTCGCCAACCTCCAACATCGCAGGATGTCCGCAACTTAAAGTTGGATCGTCCTCTTAGGCCTCCGTAAGCAAACAACTCATTCTATTGATTTTATGTACATATTGAAGCTGTAATCAGATCCATGGATGCTCTTTCTCCACCCTCACGTGCAACTCTCCATCAAGACTCCGCAGTGCTTGAGGCCTCGCCGCCGGTCGGTTCTCACCCTATCACCACCAAAGTGGGCTTCAATTTGGATCGACCTGCAAGAACAATCAAAGTCAAGATTGAACCTTCAGATAATCCACCGCTTTCACATGCTGTTCCACCCACTCATTTCAACTTGGAACGTCCACACCATTCTCCGGCGGCATCAATGTTCGCCGCAGATGTCGTAGATCTCACTTGTTCGCCGCCTGCCACTCAATTGGGCTTCAATTTGGACCGACCCGCAAGAACAATCAAAGTCAAGATTGAACCGTCAGATAGTCCAACACTTTCACATGCTCTTCCACCCACTTCTTTCAACTTGGAACGTCCGCACGCCTCTCCGGCGGCATCACTGTTAACCGCCACAGATGTTGTAGATCTCACTGGTTCGCCGCCTGCAGTTCAATTGAATTTGGATCGGCCACTCCACAAGGCACGCTCCTCTGGTCTTACATCCACCACTCCACCTGCTATGAACTTGGACCGTCCCCTCCGCAAGGCAAAATCGGCCCTAAGCTATGCAGGTCTGCCGCCATCTGCCTCCAACCCTCCCAGGAAGGGAACACACCCTAGCGTCAAAGAGGAGATGACAAGAGAAGATTGGACTGATGAAAAACTAGACTTTCCTAGGAATAAGGTTGGTCATGGTTTTTGTCTTATCTTCGGTTACTAACCTCAGAAAGCATTTTCTTAGAAGCGGCGAACTTGACAAGTGGATTAACTGTGTCAACGTTCTTTCCTCCCGCAATCGTGACCCAGTTCAAGCCATGGAGTTAATGAGGCATTATGCAGTAGAGGGCTTACTGGATTCTGAGTGTGTCTTAGAGGTTTTGAACGAGCTGAAGAATGAGATCTATTCGGCAAGGGAGGACTTCTTACTTATGATGGGTGACTTGTACAAGTAGTTCGGCATATACATGATGATCGCCGCTTGCACACAAAACGCCCCAGCGGAGGGCAGATGATCGCCGCCGGCATACCAAATGCCCCGGCGGACCGCAGCCCCGCGGGGGATATGGCGGACAAAGTACGTGCCAGCCGCTCCAATCGTCTGGGTCATTGTTACTGACGGCCTGCGCATAGTTACTGAAGGTTTGTTCAGGGTCCGGCCGCCCCTTTGACAATGGGGGTCCGGTAATCAAACCGGCTGTCCAGCTAGGCCCTTACCATTTGATGGATTGTCAGGGCAGGGTGGCCCATTACTAATGAGCCAAGGTGACTAACTTAACTGTCCACCTTTTCGGCGCACTGCGTCATGCTGGCCAACGTGCCGTTGATTTTGTGCTCGATTTCGATCGATTTGTTGTAGAGCGACGTAATCTCCGTCGTAGCCTGAGATTCAAGACCGTCAAACCAGTCAAAGATCTCTGCCAGCGTTTCCACCGCCGTTTGATGGTTAAATTTTTGAACTTTTTTATCTTGTTCTGGTCGAGTTTCCCACAATCCTTCAGGTACTTCTTCTGCATCCCAAGGGGGTTATCGATTAAAAAACTTTTGGCGCGTCGCAACTCATCGGGCAGCGTGTCAAGTTCAAAGTTCCAGGAGAGAGGATTCGAGACATTGGTGAACAAAATCCCGATGTTCTCGGCAAGAGTCCGAGGGAAGATGGAAGAAAGTGTAGTGATGGTATAGTCAGTGGCAACCCCAAGGCGTGGGTTGGTGCCATTGGCCAGAATGATCACCGCCGTCACTTCCGGGATATTTTCCCCAATAGCGGTGGTGATGCTCTCTTTATGTTCGTTGTCTTTCTCAAGACCCCGCGTGTCGGCGAGGCCAGGGGTGTCGAGCACGGTGATGTCAACGCCATTCAAGCTCGTGAATTTGTAGACCTTGGCGGCCTTCGTTTGGCTGTGCTTTTGTGGTCCACCGTACTCGTTGGTCACATCGTACGGTTCCAGGTTGTAGCTGCTTGGTGTTTTGCCTGCCAGTACGTTGACAAGGAGAGATAGGAAACTGGTCTTGCCAGTTCCGGTCTCGCCTTTTCATTGCAACAATAAGAGACTGGGTTGGAAGATCCGATCATGAAAGCGGGACGCACCAACGAGTATAACAGTAAAACTCCCCCTTGTCGTCATGACATTCCCTGCCTTCAAAGATGATACGGCGCTGCGCCATGAAATACGAGGTCAGTCCCGTCTACTGAGTAGCCAAATGGTACGCTTACATCCTAGGGAACTCGACAGGCGACAAAGCCTCCACATACATCTTGGTATTCGAAAATGACGTACAAACGAGACTGGTAAAGTATGTCCAAATGAGAAGCAGCTCAGGCGTCGGAAAAAAACACTCACGGAGCCGGCTTCATGATTGCTAAGGAATTATGGTCGATTTTTCGGGGCGGGGCTGTTGTTATGAGGAAAGCGCGCAGGACCGCGCTTTCATTCTGTCGTGGGTCTCATTTATGCATTCCTAGTGGTCACAAATGACCGCCACGAGCAAGGCGCATGCTGGGGTAACCTGGGAAGTCACTACGTTTCTTCTGCCCACAAGCAATTGGTTCCGGTGTTTCCAGGGGTTGGCCATAATGCGGTAAGTTCCAACCTAGCAAGTTTCTGCCGTTATTGCGCTGGCCAGATTGTACAGTCAGGAGTCGAGATATGAGTATGGCGCAACCCCGGCTTCAAACGAAGGGGATCAAGTTTCCCAGAGCGTGAGCGTATGGGTGCATACCAACCCTCTGGAGGAATAAGTTTACACTCACTGTTGTCTGCTTGCGTTTCACAAGTGGACGCTTGTGGGTAAGTACCGTCGATTAGAGCCTCCGATATCGATCACTTAACGAGCGCTTACCAGCCGTCAGAGGTGAGGAGTACCCAAGCATTGCGGGTAAATAGCGACTGATCAAGCGCCTCGCGATCAGGGGTTATTCACTGCGTTTTGCCTTGAGGACGGCCATTTATGGCATGGAATGACGCAGTGACACGATTGACCAAAAGTTTTTGCAGGGTTTTGCCTTAAGTACATACATTCTGCTCACACACGCCAGAATTTACATGCGGCATCAATGGCTACTTCGCCGCTCAGGGCCGGTGTTGGTTTCATTGGACTATGTATGTTTTGTTCAATTCAATATTGTTCGTCCGCAAATTGACCTTCATTACAAGGTTGACTACTTCGAGCGCTTGACAGGGTATACTCCCGCCCAGTTGACTTAACGACTTTCATTACTCGGGAGGAACGTTCAAAGCTGTACTTCAACCACATCCAGCTTTCTTCAGGTAACACACTCAACTGAAGATGAGAACCTTGGTTTAACAGTGCTCTCCTCGACGACTCGCGTTGACTTGCATCGTAATTTCAAAACACCGTTTCTCTTTCATCAAACCCCGTCGTGACAGCTGTTCTGTTGCATCCAGGCGTCGAAGTCTCATACTCTTGCAATGCTGTGAGGCGGTTACCATCCTGTAGATATGGGCGGGGACTTTGAAACAAAGACAGGTCCACAATGTCATTGAATTTCATCGCACGCTCAACTCTTATGAATTGTATGCTATGGGAGGAGGTGGAGGAAGGGCTAAAGTGAGAGGTATTAGCTCAAAAACCGTCCTACAATGCAAGCTGCTCCCGGTATCCCTTGAAGAAGGTCAACTTGCTGATACGTAGTGGTGTCTTCAACAGCACCCAATTGTTCATCGACACATTTGGCAACCCAGTCAGACTTGAAATCCACCTTCCAGCTGACATCATCAAGAGCCCCCGAAAAGGCTGGGCTGACGGAGAGAATTAGGTCTGAGATACTGTAGGGTGTTTCACCGTGTGCAAGGGCGGCTACAGCTTCTCGCAGTTTCTCGTATGTGATATGAAAGGCACCTTTGTGAAGATTGAGGGATCTCCTGTAGTCAAACAATCCCATGTAAACATCACGAGCTGAGTGTCCAAAGTGATGTATCGCATTCTCCAAGAGGAGCGTCAGGGCCTGAGCAGGTGGCAGCAATTTCTCGTCCTCTTGATATTCTTGGAGAACTTCAAATACACCAGAGAACCGAGATAGCTGAAGATCAAGCTCCTCAAGTGTATTTGCCTGAAGTGCTTCCATCAGAGCTGGGTATTCATCCTGGAACGGTAACCTTGTAGAGCACTTTCAGACCTAACCGAATATATAGGATTGATAGGACACACCCTGCCAACAACTCCTTGTCGGTCCATAGGGGCAATGCGGTGAGAAGAGGATATCTCTCTTCCCGCCAAGTCTTATATTGGCTGGGGTCTGGTGATGTTGCTTGCACTGGCAAACATGGCCGGCGGGTAAGGAATCCCTTTGGCTCCATGGCCTCTTCAATATCAAATAGAGACCATAAAAAAATCTTAGAGGTCGATTTAGATTTTGGTAGATGTCTTGAAGTTTTAATTTCGGATGTGCTTGATTCGTAGACGTGATCGTCGTTGAAGAGGTAAAGCACTTCGCCGTCCGGGGAGAATAGTACCTTTTGCTTTTGCTGCAGAAGACGGACAAGAAGGTAGTAGAGGAACAGTGTTTTTCCTTGAAAACAACGCATTATATTTCCGGTGGAATAGAAAGACAAACACCCACCAGTCCCAGGCTGGCCAGATAAGATGGTTCCATTCTTACCCTCCGATTGAAATGCTTTTGCCCAGATACGATCGAAAGTCGTCACGTAGCAGTCGCGCACAAGTATTGTTGGAGGTTCAAGCTCAAGAAGCGGAAGCGAAAGGGATGGGGACACAGATTGCTCCTTCTCTCCATACCAGTCCCTTTTTATATCCTGCCAAGGTGTGTGTCGGCCAAAACCCATTTTGTGTTATCCCACTCCCAATTACTTGGATCTACAATTACAGTGGGAGTTGTGTTATGAACAACGATCGTAGATATGTGATGGTTGCTCACCAGCATTCTTGGTGCTCAGCTCTGAATTTCCAGCGTACCGGTTCAAAACTGCCTGAGAGCGAGACGTGTCCATTTCGAGAGAATAGATATTCCCAGGCTCGAGCAGCCGCTACTTTGTGCAGGTTTTACAAAAGCTGATCATCACATGCATCACAGCTGTGACCGAGAACGCGTTGAACAACGTCGTCATGATGAGACAAGTCTCCCGTGCATTGAATCGGGAGAGAGGATCACCGCGGATAACTTGAAGTTGGTTGTGAGGTCAATACCTTCTTCATGGTTGGAAGATACGATGAAAGATTTAGAGTGATCCTTCGACAACATCCTTAGTGTCCAGCCCACACATTCAAAAGACCAACTTTATATTCTCAAAGGGTTAAAACACACGAAGCGGTTGCAAGCTACTAGTATCTAAAAAACAAAAACCCCGAAACCCCGTCCAAAGCAACGTTTTCATCGATGTGAGCGAGCAATACAAGAGCCAATCAATCGCATAAAGGCGGCATAAAAAAGCATAGGTCATGAATCATAAAAGAACGAACAGACGAAATGGAATTGGAGCAATGCGATGGAGCCACAACTTAAGCGTCGTCCTTCGGGTTGGAGGTGAACTCCTGGAGAACGGCGAGCGCCTCGTTGACTTTGGCGTTCATGGCGTCGGGGGACTCCACCAGATGAAGAAGCTCGACGTTGTCCATCTCAAGCAGCATGCCGGTGATCTTTCCAGCGAGATCGGGTTGAGAGCTAAGGAAAGCAAAAGATCAGCGTTGAGTGGTGTAAGGAGATGATTATAAAAACTTACTTGGCGATCCTCATGTAGATCACTTCGCCGAGCATCTGCTTCTGCTCCATTGGGGACGCAGCAGCCAATTGCGCGGGAGTGATGATAGGTACGTCTGGAGCGGCGCCAACAACACCCTGAGGAGGAGCGACAGGAGCGGAAGTAGGAGGGGGACCAGTCGGGCGTTGCTGAACAGGAACGCGTACGCCTTGCTGAGGAGGAGGGGGAGCACGGTTGATGGGTGCAGCGGCGGGGGGCGCACGACTGGCGGGAGGGGGTCCCTGGGGAATTGGGCCACGTGGTGGAGCAACACCGTTGGGAGGGGGAGGTCCATTGGCACGGGGCATCGGGACGTTGGGATGAGTAGGAGAGCCGCCAGGTCCACGAGCGACGGGAGGTCGCGGGGGCGCACGGCCAGGGTAACCAGGCATATAACCTTGGGGAGGACCTTGACCATATGGGGCAGGAACCGGCATACCAGCAACCTGACCACCAGGTCCGTAACGGGGACGAGGAGGCAGCATGCCTGGCTGGCCGTAACCCATCATACCCCGACCTTGAGGGAAACCAGGGCCAGGTGGGTAATACATGGGACCATTGATATAACCGCCAGGCAGACCCGCAGCTTGAGCCTGTTGCATCCTGATCTGGTTGCGTTGTGCGATCTGGCTCTCAAGTTGCTGGCGACGATCTTCACGGCGCTGGGCAATGGAAACGTACAACGGCTTGCTGCCGATCATCTTGTTGTTCATTTCAGCCACAGCTTTAGTAGCTTCATCCGGCAACGAGAAGCAGACAAAGCCGAAACCTTTGGAGGTACCCTTCTCGTCGCACATGACCTTGCAGCTGGTGACGGTGCCGAAAGGCTCGAACTCGACGCGAAGCTTCTCATCGTCAACATCATCCTCCAAGTTCTTGATGTAGAGATTCACGCCCTGGTACTTGCTCAACTTCTCCATCTTGGCTTGCTCGTATGACCTACGGAGCTCCTCCTCACGCTCGGCCTTCTTCTGCGCACGGGAAACAAAGAGCTTCTTGCCATAATGCTCGGAGTCGTGGAGCTCATCGACGGCCTTCTGGGCCTCTTCATGGTTTTCATAATTGACAAAACCAAAGCCCTTGCTCTTGCCCTCTTCGTCAACGGACAGCAGAGCCGACGTGACTTTGCCGAAATTGGAGAAGAGTTTTTCAAATTCGTCCTGGCTCATCTCCTGATCGATGTTCTTGACATAAAGGTTTGTAAATTGAGATTTCATCTCATCAAGCTTGGATTGACGTTCCTGAAATCGTACTTAGTTGATGACACTGGAGTCCATTATACTGAACGACAAACCTTGCGTGAGATATGATGGCCAACATAAACCTTCTTGTCATTGAGAAGCATGCCGTTGACAGCCTTGATCGCGTTATCGGCCGATTCAGCAGTTTCATAATGGACAAAACCGTAGCCCTTGGAGCGACCTTGCTCGTCCGTGGCAACCTTGCAAGAGAGGACGTTGCCAAAGGCAGCAAAAGTGTCATGCAGTGCCTAAATCATGTGTGAATTCTGGGCGTGGAAGAAATAAGTAGATTGGGCGAGTACCTTGTTGTCAATAAGCTCGTCCAAATTCTTAATGAAGATGTTGCCTTGACCAGTTTTGCGAAGGGCAGGGTCACGCTGGGACCACATGATCCGGCTAACAATGGGAAGGACTGATAAGGAAGCGTTCCCTGAACAACAAAAGGCGGGATACGGACCATGCACGGTTCTTGATCAACGAGTAATTGAGCTGCTCCAGAGCACGCTCGCCTAAACAACGATGAGCCAACTGAAAGGCTTTAGCAGATTCAAAAGACATACCATCATTGGTGTTGAGGTAGTTGACGTAAGCATATCCGAGAGAGCGGCGTGTAACAGCATCCCGGCAGACTCGGATGCTAGAAGCAAGTGGAGCTGAGTGAGTGATGAAGTGGTATAAAAATACGTCCGTGCGCACCTCGCAACAGGGCCAATCAGGTTGAACATCTCAAAAAGCATAGCTTCAGAGACGGTAGGATCGAGCTCTCCAACATAAAGCGACGCAGACGGGGCTGCACCGGGGGTTGGGAGAGTGTAGGGAGCTGGTGCCGCCAGGACAGGCGGCTCGGGCGAAAGAACTTGATGAACGGGCTCAGGCTGGGCGACAGAGGGAGAAGACATGATTGTTTGGATTTTTTTTCTGGGTTTGGGAGGTCGTTACTGCTTTTTGGACTTTTTTTTTTTGGCTTTGGAGGTGTAAGAATGCGCAAGATTGAATTGTCTGGTGAAACACTTACACAAGTATGCAACCGCTCGTGGATATAAGGGTTTTATATGTTTTTTTTTCGAAGGCTGTCGGTGGAGGTCAGCGACGTGGAGGACCGCCGATGATGGTAAGTCTCACCTTTGAGAGTTGGGTGAAGAAAATCAACGCCCCATCACTCGCCTTATTATATCAACTTTCAAACCCCGCTACACACCGCCACGCTTATGGGCGTTCATTGAACAATTATGTAACGTGACAAAGGCACATTCAGAACAACTTGGCAAGAACACTGTTTTCTGAACACACATTGACACAAGCTGTATGTAGTCGTCCAAATGATAGATTTTTTTTTCAAGGCGTTGAGGCCCTCCTACTCATACATCACCGCGTACAGAATTTCCAGGGTGCCGACTATAAACAACAAACTAGCCCACACAGCGTCGAACCCCAGACCTCCTTTCAGTGTGTTAAGACTGATGCAGTGTCCCTGCCTCCGACCGAGAGCATCATTAAATAACGACTCTTCTGAACGAATCACGTAAACATCCACTCATTAGGACGTTGAAGATCCCATTCTCCCGTCTGATTGGCGAGGGCTCGTTGAGGCCGTCGATGACTACGGGCACCTTGCTACTCAATTAGTAGCGGTAGTGCGACTGCGGAAAGTGAGCGTCAGAGGTCAATCCCGCCCATAAAAAAAAAGTAAAACGCACAGGCTTGTAAGGGCCATTGACAGGGATATCGAGGTACTTGGACTGGGTCTCGCTGAGAGTGGTCAACTTGACGTTGAGCTGGGCGAGATGGGCACGGGCAACTTCCTCGTCGAGGTCCTTGGGGAGGATGTGGACGCCAAGAGGGAACTTCTCAGGGGTGGTCCAGAGGGCAATCTGGGCCAAGACCTGGTTGGCGAAGGAGCAGGACATGACGAAGGAGGGGTGGCCAGTGGCGCATCCGAGGTTGACAAGACGACCCTCAGCAAGGAGAATGATGTGGCGGCCGTTGGGCATGGTGAAGCGGTCGACTTGGGGCTTAACGTTGGAGACAGACTTGGCGTTGGCCTTCAACCAGGCGACGTCGATTTCAACGTCAAAGTGACCAATGCTAGAGAGTAATTGGTTAGAAAAAGTCGATTACAGCATGTTGTAAAGGACTTGCTTGCAAACAATGGCATCTTCGGGCATGACGGAGAAGTGAGCACCAGTGATGATGTCCCTGTTACCAGTGGTGGTAACGAAGACGTTGGAGCGGTGAGCAGCATCCTCCATGGTGGTGACCTCGTAACCGGCCATGGCAGCTTGGAGAGCGTTGATGGGGTCGATTTCGGTGATGAGGACGCGGGCACCGTAAGACTTGAGGGACTCGGCGCACTTGAAATATTCATCAGCAAGGCAGCCAGAGAAAATCTTGCGCGAGTTTTACATACCCCTTTGCCAACATCTCCATAGCCAGCAACGACGGCAACCTTGCCAGCAAGCATGACGTCAGTGGCACGCTTGATACCATCGACGAGAGATTCGCGGCAGCCGTAGTAGTTGTCAAACTTGGACTTGGTGACGGAGTCGTTGACGTTAATGGCGGGGATCTTAAGCTTGCCATCACGGAAAGCCTTGTACAGGTGGTGAACACCAGTGGTAGTTTCCTCAGAAACACCGTTGATGCCTAGTGGTTCATAAGCTCAGAGAAAAAACTTGGAACAGGATGAGAAACATACCCTGGAGGTACTGTGGGAACTTCTCGTGGACAATGGTGGTGAGGTCACCTCCGTCGTCGAGGATCATGTTAAGGGGCTTGCCACCCTCGAAGCCAGCAATGGTTTGCTCGATGCACCAGTTGTACTCCTCCTCGGTCTCACCCTTCCAGGCGAAGACGGGGACACCGGTCGCAGCGATGCTATATTTAGCAACGTGTGAGCGGCAAGGAATGATAGATCAAAAGAATGTACGTACGCAGCAGCGGCATGGTCTTGGGTGGAGAAGATATTCTGAATGGGATAGGAGATAAGCTTGGCCGTCTCTTTTTTGCATGTGGTCCAAACACGTACGCAGGACGACCAGGTAACCTCGGCACCGAGAGCGGTCAAAGTCTCAATGAGGACGGCGGTTTGGATGGTCCTATAGAGATACCATAGTCAGTGCTATTGTTATTGCCGTGCAGTTCAAGACATACATGTGGAGGCATCCGGCGATACGAGCACCCTTCAAGGGCTGAGCAGCAGCGTGCTATCATGAAAAAAAAGTCATCAGCGGACTGACTATATTATATGGACATTAATGGAATATACCTTCTTCCTGAGGTACATAAGACCAGGCATCTCGCCCTAACAATGCGAGAAAAGGTCAATCTCAAAGACCGCAGCCAGACTGATCGATATAACTTTACCTCTGCGATTTCGATCTCCTTGCGACCAAACGCAGCGAGAGAAGCATCTAAACTCGATGTTTGAGTATCATTAACATCGGGGGAGAGTTGCGAGCTCACCAGCGACCTTGAAGACCATTTTTCTGAATTGAAAGGGATGTGATGAGGGTTGGATAAGAAGCAGGGGTGGTGTTCTGAATTTCGATCGAACGTTTTTATTTTCCCGCCCACGTGATGGCGGCGCATGCCGCAAAAGGGTGTCAGCGTGTTAGGGGCTAAGTACATGTGCACACGAATTCTCAACGTAACCAGAAAGGCGCACAAGCATCGAGAACAACACCACCATAGCTACAATGTTCTCTTCAGATTGTACTGAAAAAGAACAAGATCTGTCGACAGTTATTGAAAGGTCAACGTTCAACGTTCAGCATGTAATAGATCTAGTTATACTTTCAGACCCTGAAAGTTGTCCTTTGAAGCATAAATGTTGCAAGAAAACACGAAAGCTGTTTCGACAAAGAGATACATTGACGCACATAGAGAAATCAAAGTAAAGCAATCATGTACGAATACATAAATGATAAAGAAAAGAAGAAACGAAGCAGATGATGAAAAGATCCACAGAATCACCGTTCCCTCCCAGGCGTCCTACTTCTACTCCTCTCCCTCCCAGGCGTCCCACCCCTCTCCCTTTCCTTATCTCGCCTGGGCGTCCCGGGCGGCTTTCTAGGCGTTGCAGGAATAACCGTAACAGTCAACCTCCGATCCCCCACAGCCCCAATCCCACTCTCCTCCCTCCTCTGCACCTCCCTCGCCGCTCTGCGCGCTTCATCACCCACCAACGCAAGCGGACGCTCCTTATCCACCCTCCCCAGCGCGCGGAGCAGCTCCAATGGGGCTACCGTACCCCCTGGTACAGCTGACGACGACGGGCGCACGTAGCTCCCCAGAACATTCGCTCCTGACCCTTGCCCAGACCCAGACCGAGACGAGAGGACCCTTGGATGAAGCTTCGCGTCCAGATTCGCATTGAGCACCTCGAACCGCTCATTCAAAGACATTTCCCCAATGTCCACCGTCCGCTTCGCAGCGTTCGCCCAAGTGTACAGCTGGTCAACTTTGAACTGAAGTAGAGGAAGCCGTCGATCCAGCTCCGATTCCAGCTCTTCTCGGGTCTGTGTACCTGGTCGCCGTGATGATGAGGGGCATGCTATACGGTCGTCACCCAGATCCTGATCGCGCAATCCTAGAACTGATCGTGCTAGCGACGAGCTCCACTGGAACTCGGAGGAAAGCTCGTGTTCACGAGGTAGCGCGCTGATTTCCGTGTCTGTAGTTGCGCGGCGCTTCCCTTTGGCTTTGGCCGAGGGTGTGGATGGTTCCCCCGTTGTTGCAGTGTTGGCAGCGTTGCGTTTGTCCAGAGAGGTTTGGAGCTTCTTGGTATACGCTTCATAGTCGTAAGACACCTTCTTCCACGCTTCATCTTCTGCTTGTGCTCTGTTAAGTGGAAGAATCAGTATGCGAACAGTGTCAATACGAAAGCTGTACTTACTTCTGAATATTTTCTGAATAAATTACCTCACATAACCGATTCCTCACGTTCTGCTCATTGTCTCGCAGGACTTCAGTCGTGCTGTCCTTGGCAGCTTGTTGTGGGAAGAGGCTAAGATCGATCCTCTTTTCCGCTAGCATCCTGATATAGCCTTCTTGAGCAGTCTTGAGCAACTGTGCAGCCTTGTCTGATAGGGGTGGTAATGGCGGAGGGGGAGGTTGTGTTGATGAAGGGCGTGGTTTGGATTTGCTCGAGGATGTGCCATTCGAACCGGAAATCCCTGCAGCGCGAAGAGAACACCAGATGAGAAGGGTGCGTATCCGTTCGACCTCTGGGAGATCGCAGTCAATGTGTTTGTAAAAGCTGGTGTCAGCAACAGAATTGTGTGGTTGAACTGAAATCCAGGTCATGTTGCGTGAATATCAGATTGAAGAAAAAACCACACCGATAACGCCCGTCGTCTCAAATGAAGTGCTTATGCGCTTCCCTCTACCACTAACTGAGCTCTTTCTCCGATGGTGCCCTTGTCCCTTTCCATTCTGCTCCAAAGGACGTGACGATCGACCATTTGCAATAGCAGCCATCGCGCCTTCCCTCAGCTGCTTATTCCTCTCAATTTTCGGAGTTTCGCGCTCTGGAATCAAAATTGACGTATCAACGATCCTTGACTTTCCTTTAGTCGTGCTAGATTCTGCGCGAGGGGGAAACTGAAACGCGGGATTGAAAGCAGGGTCGATGGTTGTGTGCGCTCGTGAATTCCGTCTGAGATGATCAGCTTCATCTTCCATGGCTCGGACGTCTTGTTCAAGCTGAGGGTCGTCATGCAGCGTGGGTAGGGTGGATGAACGAGCTGCCAGAGGGGGCTGCGAGCCGGCGCGAAATTTCTTGGAGGGAGGTTTAGAAGGGCCTGCGCCTAATGTTGAGGATGGGTAGGACGGGGGTGGTTGGGATGCGACTCGTGAGGATGGTTTCGTGTGAGCGGTATTCTGAGAGTGTGGCATTGATTCGGGTGCGCGAACGATAAGGAGACCGCCTGGTGTTTCTTCTGCGTTCATTACTGTTAACTTATGGTCAATATCACCCTAATAACGCGTGCTATGAGGGCCAAGACACGTACATTTGCGTTTCGTTGAGGGACCCGTCTTGTTCTAAATTGACCAAACACGTAGATGAGAAATCATTCTCGCCAAATAAATGAAGTAAAAACTCGCCTCCTTCTTCGCCCTCTTAGCGGCGGCGAGCAACGGGTTTGAATCGTCCAAGGCCTTCCGTTTGGCCGTGGGTTGGGGTTGTGAGGGCAACATTTGTAAATGTGTGAGATTGACGGCGGTCGAGGAGAAGAGACGAGTCATAAAGTCGTTTATAGAGGTCCGAGCACGCGGCGGGCACTATGCGTCCGATTACGCGCTAATATCACGCTCGCCGTTACCGATGGTGTCGAGGACAGAATCAACAGAATATTGTCGGAGCTTGAATTGAAACTCCCACGTTTCCCGATTCAACAAACATCACGGACCAACAAAATTCCCAACTCAAGACAGACTAGGACAGACTCCGACAGAGTTGCTATAAAGATTTCGCAACGCATAACAAGACATGAAATAAAGGATTAATCGATTACGGTCGCTACATACAATGCCATTGGCAGACAAGCCTGTATTCTGGGTCGAGTACTCCACCTGTTTTCACGCGCGGCATATCTTTATGGACATTGGATTTATGTTTGGGGCACGACGTTCGCCAAAGGACATCAGGATAGGGTACCACGACTTCCTCTACGAATCCTGCAGGTCCCCTACTTCGCTCACAGCCCAACCGCATTGACACCCCGTGCTGGCATATGGCTTGATCTTTATGTCGACTTTCAAAGGGAAACTGCGGGAAACGTCGTCTTTTGCGCTACATCTCATGACGGATGACAATAGTTATCGACTTCGGCCAGGTTATCGCCCTTCTTTGCAAAGGATTATTTTACATCACCGTCTCCACCGCCTCTATCTTACGCTCGAATCCCTCACAAACCTCATTACCGACCACACTGCCGAGCGTCGCCTCCACCCTCACGAATTCATAAATTTGAATAAAAAACTTGAACTATGCGTTGTTGCTTGTAGTGTGTGCCTCTTTTGTAATCGTCCTGGAGTCATCGCATCTCGCATAATGACGGTAGTAGAGAGATTTCAGGACGGCAAGGCAAAGGTGTAGCAAGAGTGATACGCATAGCCGGTTGGAGTATCAATAATTCTTGAGCTGGTTTAGCGTTCTTTTGGGACTGGAACGAACAGAAATATCATCATCATGGTGATTGGAGTTCGTAGATGCCAAAATTTGTCGCAACGTCCATCCAGTCATACTGGTGTCGATAGCTGACTGGGGGTGACTGACGAATACAGAACAGTCGGGAAACGTATCGAAAAGAGATAGTGGGGCCCAAAGGGGGACCACAGCGCGGCCAGCAAGAGAAGTTATCTCAGTGTTCAGGTGGGCTGGGTTCGTAAGAGGATCTGCCATCCCCGTCACAAAATTCACCCTCGAACAGTCTGTTCAAGCGTATCATCTCATTTTCTCTGCCTTTCCGAGTCGCTACCATCTGTGCGCGGTCGAAATCGATAAAGTAAACGTCCTGCCCGTTAACGAGCATGTTGTGTGGGCGTATATCACGATGCCGAACGCCAGCATCATGTATGCTTCTTATGGCATCAGTAAAAGCTTGACTAAGAGATGTAATAGAATCGTTAGATTAAGGCAGCGATTTGGAGTGGGAAATATGACAGACCGTTCAGATTCAGAAACGTTCACTTGGTCAGAATATTTCCCAGTTCTCTCTTTTTCACGGGAAAAGAGGGATGAGCCGCCATAGCCCAAGACGAGCATTAGAGGTCCTCCCTCCATATCTTGAAACAGCCCGTAGATCGGAAGCAAGCCTTTGACGCCTTTATGTGTGGATAAGTGTGCATAAACGGAGAATTCATGTCGAAGGCACTCTTGGTTTTCCTTGGAAAACGCGAGTTTTGCGACAGTTTGACGAGTGAAAGCCCCACCGTCGCTCATTCGAAGCGACAATGTAGCGTGATGAACAACGCAAATGGCTCCCCAGCTTATCTCATCCCCTAAGGTGATTGAGATATACTCGGTTTCACTATAAGCTGCTTTTCGCTTGGTTTCTTTGGCCGTTGCCGGTCCTTTCCCATGTATAAGGGAGGGGCCGCAGCGCAAGAAGGACGCAGGAACAGGAGAGTTATAAATGCCATATACAAGGCGCACTAAGGCCACATCACGGTGGCCGATCTCGCGCATGAAGTCCTGAAGCGAGCGTCAAGCAAAATTTCAAAAGTAAGTAACGTAGTAATCACCTCATCTGTTACCTGAGTTTCTATCTTACCGACGCTGGAACGCCGTCGTCTTTTGGAGCTTCTCGCTGGAGGCGTCTCATCTTCCGGTAGACGCCGTTTCTTTCGTGCAGCTTTGGTATTAGTTGGTTGTGAAGATGCTTTCATTTGAGATAAGCGCTCCATAGCATCTCGCACTGCAGCCACATACAAACCAACTTGCAATTTACCATACGCTGGATCTTTGCAGGTGTTCACATCAACCAGATCGGAGAGGTAGAGAGTTTGCGTTGCGCGATGGCGAATCCCAATTCTGTCATACTTTCCGCAGTGAAAGAGAATGAACGTAGTATCTTGCAAAACAGACTGAGCCCATGCCTACGACACATTCAGAGGATTGCTGAATGTGGTCGAAAAGTTAACCTTACATGTTGCAGGTATTGATCTGGAATTGGGCGGTCATCGTGTCTGCGTCCGCGCTTTGTTCCAATGCGCGAAGGCACAATAATGCGGCGGGAAGTTTTGAATAACCGCGTTTTTTCCGTTCCGCAGGCCAGAGGTTGGGTTTTTTTCTGATCGAGCCATGGGAGCTTTGCTGAATCTGGCCCACCGATTTTCGCACCCGTAAGGTGACTGTAAGCTGAACCCTCGGTACGAGACGTTATCCAGGGAAATTTAGGTAAAGGGCACTCCAGTAGTCTCGTTAATAGCTGCTTGGCTTCTTCTGTCACGGCGAACATTTGCCCAGTGATAAGATGAGGAAACTCAGTAAGCAGTTCAAGGAACTCCTGCTTTGTCTCGTCCTCAAGGAACTGTTCCAAAGGGAGCGAGAAATCCAACTTGTAAGGTTCAACCTCCGTGCGGCAAATGGATAGAGAAAAGCCGTCCACTGCAAAAGCAATTTCTGTAGTGGCCGATGGCTTCTTCCAACACATGATGGTAAACCATTCGGTACACGTTGGATGAAAGGCTAAAGTTGAACCCAAGAATGAACACGACTTCGAAACATACGACAGGTAGTGTTTCGCCACACACACCGCATCTTGCATTTCTGGTTCCCAAGTTGCACCAAGAAAACTATGACCCTTTGGCAACGAAATGTTGTTATCTGCAATGTTTCTAGCCAGGTCTGTGGCAAGGTCGGACAAGCCAGCAACTAGTGAAGGCAACGCTTCAACATGTTTGAGAACCAAGCTAGAATCCAGATGCTTGTCATGGAAGGTCACCGCTGACAGGGGGGGGATGGGCTGGTATTCTTCACTTTGCTGCAGAACGGCAGGATTGGCGTTGTAGGTGAGATTGATCTCTTCCTCGTCTGTAGGTTCAGGCGATGCTGACGCCATTGGCGTTGCATAAAAGCTTGATTCTGGTGAGGAAAGTTACGAAACCTTATATCGATAATCCCCAAATATCAGTCAACATAGTATTTTTGTACATAATTCCAAATCTCCCAAGACACATATTCATTCCAACTTGAAAGCTTTTCGAATACTACGAGTCATTACTTCGTTCTCCAACTCATCGCGCCGCTTTGCTCTCCTCTGCTTCATGAGGTCGGTCATTGTGTCCGTCTCTGCTTCAGTCAGGTCTAGCCGTTCAAGCGAGTCATCTTCATCCATGCTAACGCCCTCCTCGAACGACCCGAAATGATGATCAGCGTGTGCCCAGCTGATTAGCGAGAGGCGATCTGCCGAGCTGACAAGGAAATGCTGTAAGAGTAGCCCATGGTGCATGATGCCATGCCGCTTGAGATCCTTCAAAATCTTCTCGGCTTGTGGCTGCAAACGTGCGCTATTGAAAGGGTGAGCTGGGCACTGACATAATTCTTTCAACACCCACAGCTTTATCTTTGTGATCACGCTGGCGGAGTGAAAGAGCGAAACGCCACCATATGATAAAAGAAGTCCCAATTTCAGCATCCCATCCACCTCGCATCCGAATAGCCCAAACATTTCCACCGCGTTGGTAAACCCCTCTTCTTTGAGCCAAAGATACCTCATATACTCGTCGCGAAGTTTTACCTGGTCGGATTTCCGTTCTGCCACTTTTAGTACGAACTCCTTTCTGAAAGACTTGTCTGGTGTTACCGCCGTACAATCAAAGACCCTGTCAGTTAATGATTGAAGCCTCAAGAGAAAGGTGTGTGGACCGTCAGGACCGTCAAACGGAACGCCTTCACTGTTCAATCGTCGGAATCTTTGTATCTGTATTTGATAAGCTTGATCCAGGACGTCTTGAACATTTGATTGTATTCGGATTTCAAGGTTCTGTTCCAGTGTCTGGCTTATTTTCTAAAATTTCATCAACAAAAGCATGCACGTTGTAAAAGCTCCACGTACAAAGAGTAGCTCTTGATCTTTAGCCTGATCGACGATCTCTTCCTCATGAGACGCGATGTCGAGTTGAAAAACGTGGTTGTACTGGACTCTATCATAAGGATATTTGCGACTGTAAAGGCGATCAAAAACCAGGCTTGGTGAGTCTTGTATTTGTCTCAGCTGTTCAGCGCGGTCGAGTGCGTCCTCAAAGGCCGCAATATACAGCCCAGTATGAAGTTTCCCATAGGCGGGAACTGACTCGCAGATTTTTATCGGGTCCGATACATAGAGCGTTTGTTCCTCCCGGTATCGAAGGCAAAGATATTCGTATTGACCCGCGTTGATCACAAAAAAAGTGGCGTCAGACTGAACGGCCTCTGCCCAGCCCTTTCCACACAAAAATCAGTATCGGGAGATGTAAATAATGGGCATAGCTGACCTGCTGCAGAATATCGTGTGCTTTAGTGATATTAGTCTCTTTCACGGAGTCGGGCACCGGATATTCCTCCTCAGTTGGATCGCCGTCTGGAAGATCATCCTCCCCTTCCGAGATGTAGTCGCCTCCATCATCCAACTTACACATATCATCAAATGAACGCTTCTTCTCTCGTGGAGAGATAAAAGTCCAGGGAGGAGACCGGGCATCGGGACCAGTTTTCCTTCCCGTCCTGACAAACCTCGGGTTATCGTGCGGATGGAACTTCTTCGAGTTACAATGACAGCTGGGAGTGCAAGCCGTCCAGACGAAAGAGTTGTTTGTGGCCAGTTGCCGAATTGCCATCATGACACCTCTGCAGCCCGCGGCAAGGCTTTTGAACTCCCATAGTACGAGAATGTCAAGCTTCCAATACAGAATGAGATCGATATGCGCCCGTAAATCTTTGCAGAGAGTAGTTGAGCCCGCTTTGAGCGAAAGAAACCCATCGGCCATAGCTCGTTTCTGTTCAGGGCGGTCGGTGCTCCAGCCGAAGACGGTCTCGTTGCTAATTCCTAAACCGAGCATCGATGCCATTTTCCGGCAGGCAGGTGCGATGTCATCCTGGTAAAAGCTCCGTACTTCTGATTCACTCTGTGTGTGGCGGATTTTGACACTAGATAAAGTCATCTTTGTTGGCTGGGCTGCGGCTCCACGCAGGAAAACATCGTAATGTTTTTTCAGTGATGTGTCTGCAACTTTCGCAATTTGCGAGGCCATGTCAGGGACCAAGACGACTTTCTTGAGAGTGAGGTCTTCGTGGAGGTGCATGTCATAAAAACGGGGCCGTCGGGAACTGACACTTCCCTTGACGTTCGCCTCGTCCACGAGCGAAGTAGGATTCCAAGTGAAAAAATAAGGAACGGAGGATGGGGGCGTTGGGACAGTGGTAGAAGTGACACGCGTTCTGCGCGGGTACCTTGGGGTTATCGGTGTACTCAATGAGGAGGCTGAAGCAGGGGTGTCCAGAGTCGATTTCAATACTGCGACGAAAGCGTGAGCAAGAACAAGGGTGAAATGTGTAAAAGTCACCATACCAGGGGAGGTCTTCGGTATCGCAAGGAGCCTCTTTGAAACTCTCTGCGATAAAGGAACGGAGGCCGAAGGGAGATTGTCGAGATCGGCTTTCAACTGAGTGGCAGCAGCAAGGGCAGTGACGGAAGAACCATGCTTGCCGCGGACAGAGGTCCTTCGCGACGCCATAGAAGTGAGACTTGCGGTAGATGATTGGAGTTACTCAAGTGGGGTCCTCGCATGCCATCCATTTTATAGTCACGAAGTAATGAAATTCGACCTCCCAGAAAGCCAGCGAGTGGCAAGGCGACTTAATACGCATTGGCCTGCGAGAAGTTCAGAACAACAAGGCGGCGGCAATCAGGTCAATGCGCCCTCGGCAAGAAAAGCCTCGTCTCTAGAGGCGGACATGAGAGTGCCTTGTCTCTAAGATCTGGGTCTGTGACGAAAAGAAGCCTCAAGCAGACAATTGTACAGATTATCAGCACAATTGGAGCATATCGCGAGTAGGTTGTTATGAGCGATGGTCGGTCATCAACAAGGGCCATGCAGAGGTAGACAACTTCGTGCGATGTGAACAAATGGACACGGGATGTTATTATTGTCCTGCTGAACTTTGAAATTCCATATCAGTTTTGTTCCTCCAGTTTCTAGTGACTTACACGATGCTCCCACTTGGTTCCAAGTTGTCAGTATTGCGCCTATAGCCTTCAGATTCGCAGTTCTCCTTGAACTATTATGCCGTGGTAGGCACTAGTGCTTTGACCCGCTTTGACCCTTGCTGACAGGACCAATGCCGAAAGACGAAACGTGAATAGGTCAAGTAGGCTCAGATAGTACACTCGATAAAAGAACACATGAAATGTCAGAGGTCGTGGCGGTTGCGTGCAGACAGGTTTAGATCGAGGCTTCCCGGGCCGTTCCGGACCCTCGCTTCGTTCTACAAAATACAAGAAATGGCCATAAACTATTTCTTCGATTTTCGTCAACTTCAATTGCCCAAAATATCCTCCTCATTCTCAAGTTCCAGCTCCCTCTCCACCACTTCCATCTTCTGTTTGAACTCCTTTTCATAAACCTCGTTGCCAGTCACCAGACTTTCCACGAACGCCGTGAGGCGCAGGTTGGGGCAGTTTCTTAGCAGAGATTCGACGACGCTCGCACTCACTCCTAAGCCAACCACGCCTTCCGCTGCGTCCGCCGCATCGATGAATAGGGTCTTGAGCTGGGGGCAGCCAGCGAGAGCGGTGACAAGTGCATCTGTGGGTTTCAGAAGCTTAGAACCTTCGAATGATACTCCGAGGCTGGTGAGGGTCTGCTTTTTGGCTTTGATGAGCTCCGTGAGCCATTGATTGACCTCAGCTTCAGGGGAGTCTTCTTGGACTTTAATGCTGATGTCTGCGAGTGGTGCAGATGACTGTTGGAGGACAGTGAACTGCCTATTCCCGATGGGGTGGCTGAACGAGATGGCTTTAAGGTTGGGGGGCTGGATTACGGCTGCGAAGAAGCCATTAGTAAAGGCATCGTCGATGTCGTCGAACCGGTAGACGGTGATAGATTCGAGGCCCGGCGCATTATTTACGAATGATTGGAGGATTCTGAGAGTAATTGGACAAGCGAGACTGAGGGAAGTTAAAGCCGTTGTTTGGGTTGAGAGTCTAAGAAGTTCCTCCTCGGCTAGTCGAGTGTCTAGTCCAATCTCGAGAGACTTGAGGTTTGCGCCAAGGCCCTTTGAGATGGCGGGCCAGTACCAGCCAAAACCATATAGAGTTAGAGACTCTAATTTAGTGAAGGGGACAAGGCCATCGGCAGGAATATCAGGTTCGAAATCGGGCACGGGTGTGTATGAAAATTTACACAGATCAAGGGTTCTGAGTTTAGGGAGGGAGCTGAGGATTGTGTGTAGAGATGAGACGAAGGCCGGTGTGATGGGAGTCACACCATCCTCCACATCACCGCAATGAAGGGTAAGATCTTCAACTCCTTGGGAGACCTTGACAATTTTATGAATAATACGATCGTTCCATCCGCCTCTAACGCGACGGATCCTGAGTCTCTTGACGTGATTGCCCAAAGGCTCACTCAAAGCGACAGAGATGGAAGCGCCAAAGGCAAAACGCACTTGTTGCTCGACGGTGTCGAGATCTCGGGGAATAGACCACAGGGTGATCTGTGAGGCGTGATGGAAAGATCGTGATACCAACGACGCAGCTTTGTAAGTCTCGCGTCCAGGCTTGGACAAAGGAGAGACATGCGAGAGGATAAGGCTTAGGGTTTCTGGAAGCCCCAAAACACGCTGCGCCGGCGTAAGGTTAAAAACATCTGTAGGTTGAGCGGCATCTGCGGTTGCAGGCTCTGGCTTTGGCAAACTTGCAAGTACTTCAGATGCGATGCTCTCATCTGAAAATGGCTCAGTGATGCGTGGAGGACGACTGGACGACTCTTGGATTACCATTAAGTGCCGCGAGATATTTTTTGAACGCGTCCAATTGCACCCCCTCCTGCTCGATGGAAGGATCGAGGAGAGTTGTAAAGAACTCGAGTGCAGGGATCGCCCTTTTCTTGGCCAATGCCGCAGCCGCTCCATCAGACTTTGTTAGGGCATCCCTTGTGGCAAGGAGGGTATAGTCAATCAAGGACTGGTCAAGGATGAAGGGTGTGAGATCAAGGTCCGTCATGGCTGATAAGATTACACAGACTTGGGCGCTTTTTGAGGTGTTGGTATTTAAGTATGTAAATATGGAGCCGAATCCATCAGGCACCACGCCATCATGCAATCAGGTGTTTCTTGTACGTCTCCGAGGCTGCCTGAAGTGAAAGAAGCGGTTCAGAAGGCATTCTTCTATGGGCGATCATATGTTGGATTGATGGATCCGGACAACGTTGAACAAGTCACAGATTGGTTTTGATTGAGTCACCGTCCAGCCTGAAGTCCTCCTGATTGACATCTAGTAGGTACTTCAAAAGACAAAAATCTGAATTTAGAGACTGGCACGGAGTGTATATCGAATTCCTATTGTCGTCGCAATCTGAGAAGCTTCCTGCACTAATCATCAATCAACGCTCGATGGAGCCCAACTAAAATGCAGCCTGCGCTGCTGCTCTCTCCGCTATCGAGCCTCTCGGCTCCCATGCCTTGACATGCTCAGCGTCAGCTTTCAGCCTTCCCTCGTCAACACCCCACGCGCCTCCACCAGGTGTTTCAATCAAAAACCGGTCACCCTTACCCATCCATATCGTCGCCTTACCACCGACGTTAATTTCGCGAGTGAGTATGCTGTCTTGAACAAGATCGCCGTCTTCCTCTCGGCATTGCTTGATCCAGGTATTGCGGCCCAGCGCACCAGGTCCACCACCTTCCAGTCCATATGGTTGCCGCGTCCGTCGCTGGAAGAAAAGAGGTTAAGAACCAGGGAGATGGTGTCCACCTTGAAGAGAGATGATACCTCTGACAAGATAGAAACCTGCATGGGCTCCAAGAACTCAATCTCGCGAACAGCTCCTTCGCCACCGTGCCATTTCCCAACTCCTGCAGATCCACTGCGCAGTCCGAACTGGTGCAACATGACGGGATATCTTCTTTCGAGAATCTCGACGTCCCCTATTCGAGTGTTGGTAATGTGTGTGTGGACGCCATCAGTTCCGTGCCATGAGGGACCTGCACCCGAACCACCTGCGATTGTCTTTTTCCGAAGACGGTTCAGACTCTGTACAAAGAATAGAACGAAAAAGTCACCTCGTAATAGCCCCAGCCAGCTACACTATTGCCATCCTTGTCTTTTCCGCCAGCCCCGAATGTGAGATTGCTATGTTATAAAGGTCAGTCAAGAGGAAAACGTCTTTTGCTGCAAGGACTTGCTTGGTACACCCTTGGCTAGCAGCAGCAGCATGGAAGGCTTTCAAAACGACATCCACAATCCTTTGGGATGTCAAAACGTTGCCTCCACAAACCGCAGCTGTGCGTGACGGCGACAACAGCGACTTCGGCGGAATTATGACTGAACAACAAGTTTAGCGTCAATTTGAGAAGTAAGTCGGGGTTGGAAATCGGAACGTACTCTCAAGGGGCACAAGACACCCTGCATTCAATGGGATATCAATATCCAGCATGGACCGCATGCAGTAGATGACTGCCGAATGCACTACAGAAATGGGCGCATTCAAATTCCCTCGGACCTCGCAACCTGTGCCTGTGAAATTAAGAATGGCCGAGCCTTCTTCTTCGTTAATTTCTACCCGTAGGTTGATCTGATGAGGTAATGAGGATTTCGACAATGCAACGAGATTGATGATGCGTACCGGCGAGCCATCATCAAGGTAATCGACGGCAGGAAGAACGTTGGATCCAGCTCGTTTGGCAACGTCGCGGAGGAGATTCCGCACAGATTTCTCGGCGTTGGAACGGATGTGGTACATATACTCTTGCACCGTATCGAGTCCGTAGTCATCGACGACTACGACTTTGTTAGAAAGCATAAAATGAAAGCACAGCATATTGACGCACTGGCATGGATAAGCTGGATCCCTTTATGATTCGCAGCGATTTGCTAAAAGTCTGGTGTTAGATTTCATCATGTAAATGATTGGAGGTACGTACTGCTTTGAGGTCGCTCTCAACATCCCGAATGTTACGGCATCCAGAGCTCCCAGGATATTGACTTGGTTTTTCGACCATATACTCGACCAAACCAGTTCTGTCAAAGATCCCGCCATCAACGATCTTGAAGCTGACGATCTCTGCTCCTTCTTCAAAGATGCTGACAGAGGTTGGCGGCATTGAGCCTGGTAAAATGCCGCCGATATCGGCGTGATGCCCTCGGGATGCAGTAAAAAAAATGATTTCTTTTGTCTTGGAGTCAAAGACGGGTGTTATGATCGTTATATCAGGAAGATGTCTGTTCGAGTGTCAACAAGTCCTGTCACGTTGAGGTATGTATAACGTACGAGCCGCCTGCATGAGGAGAGTTCGTCATGAGAACGTCGCCTTCTTTCAATGACTTCCCGTGAAGCTTCATTTGATACTTTACCGCACTAGTGGATCGATCGTTAACACAAGTGAGGGTTCACACAAGTCAACATACGCACAAGCTCATTGAACCAAGATGGATGGGAATGAAGGGCGCATTCGCGACCAAGTCTCCATCTGGAGCGAACAAAGCGCAGGAAAAATCGAGGCGCTCCTTGATATTCGTGCTGATAGCAGTCTGTTGAAGGGATCGTCCCATCGCCTCCGCGACGCTCATGAAGCGGTTGGCGAAGAGCGTCAAGAGAATAGGATCAGGACCTCTGCTAGGCGTCTTGTAAGAAGGTGCTTGGTTAGACATTCTGGTGATTGTGGTGTTCCGGTGCAGGCAATCAACGCTTTATATGTTCTGTGTGGAGTTTCCGTCTCTATTCCGACGAGCCCAGGTGGATGAACTCCACAGCTTCCTCAAGGCACCGCTGAGAACCTGTTTTTGAATGAAATTGCAGGTCATCGGAAAGATTGGATTTACATGAATGTGATCAAGAGGCTACAGTGAAATCGTAGCAAAGTCGGGAAGTGTAAAGGAGACAAGCTTCCGTTTGTATTCCGGGCGAACGGCCCGCCCTTTTCAACCATACCAACCCAATTTCATCCAAATTTCATCCTCTATTCTTGCTCTATCCTACAAGTCTGCCAGCAATTGTGAAGATTCAACTTGAATAGGCTCGCCGAATGGCTTCAACTCTGACTGAGTATCTTGCCTCACAAGAACATCTTGTTCGAGAGGCGGCGCTTGCTCTTCCACACCAGTTCTCCCAATGCACATATTCGCTTGGGTCCCTTAGGTTCGTGTCCCAGTTTCTTATCCTATCGCGGAGTTTATTGAAATGTCCTGAAGACAAGCAGTCTACTTGTGTGTTACTTGTCCTGAATCTCGCGGATTGTGTTCAGCCTGTTCAGTTGCGTGCCACACAGATCATGAACAGATTGAGTTGTGAGCAACAATCCGACTACAAATTGGGTACTGGATTGACTTGGAATTTGGCTCCAGATTTCCGAAGCGCAACTTTCGATGTGACTGTCCAACTACCAGTATAGCTCATCCTTGCACACTCAATACAACTTTGAAGGATGAGAATACTACCAACGTATATGGTCAGAATTTCGAAGGCAAATTTTGTCGATGTGGAAGACCATATGACGCGAAAACAGAACGAGAAACGATGATTCAATGTCTTGCTTGCGAGGTGTGCCTTACTCGTTTCTTTCTGAGTACTTAACCTCGCTGACCTGACCAACCAGGACTGGTTTCACGAATCATGTTGCAATCTTCGGCAGCGACCAACCTCCAGAGAGCCCACTCCCCAGCCTGAGCAATCAGAAACGCCAGTGAACGGTGAAGATAACGAAGACGCCGTGTCAGAGGCTTCCTCTTCAGGACTTCCTCCTCCTCTTATCTCTGCGTCTGAATATGAGAGCTTTATTTGTGGTTCTTGCGTTTCAAATATCGAAACCCTAAAGAAGTGGGCTGGGACTCGGGGTGCTATGATGGTCGTACGGAATAGCACTACTGAACCTTGGAGGTGTCTCAATGGCGATACACAACATCCGGAAGAGCTTGTTACCGTCGACGATTCTTCTACTACATTGACCTCTGGTGCAAAACGGCCGCTTTCACCATCCTTGGCGCAGGAACCAGACGCAAAACGGGCTCGTGGCACTTCAAGTTCTAGTGCAACCTCACCACCATCAAACGCATGCATTGCCCCTCCACGTAACCCATACGCCCAAAAGCTTTTCGAAGATGGAATCTCCTTCGATCTAGACTATTCTTTGGGAACAGGCGACGTCTTTCTGACTGATGGATTCAGGGAACGGTGGTGTCGCTGTCATTCAGCAAGTTTTTCTTTCTTGACAATGTGGTTCGTCCTGACCTCATGTTCGTCTAGTGTTTTCCCTCTTTGGAGACAAAATCTTACCTTTTGGAGGAAGAAGACACATACGAGCCACCAGACGATCCTGATTCAGGTGAAAAGCTTCTTGGCTTCGCCTTCACTTTTCGACCTTGTAGTTGATAACATTTCCCGTGAACAGGACTCTCCTTGGAGGAACTGGGCATGCGAGCGTTGGAACGGCTTCCGCGTGATAGAGCTATAGATGGCATCCATGCTTTCAACGAGATGCGGTCAGTTTTAAGTTGCTATCAAATGCCATATTTGTGACGTATACTCCTCGTTACAGGGATGGTTTGAAAAGTTTCCTCCGCCCATTCGCTCAGGACGGCAAGGTCGTTAACGAGTCGGATGTTCGGGAGTTCTTTGAATCACTAAAGGAGGCTGCGAAGAAGGGGCAATAGCGCCCGTATTGATTATCCACGAGGGTTAATTGGCGAGCAACAATTCTTGTACTTTTGACATTTGAATTGATAACTGCATTTCACCCCGCGCATTCGTCCTTTCTTTATGATCATGATGCAGGCTATATGACTTGGATCGTGTTCTGGCGAAATGTGTTGCTTTATCGACGCCTTAATCCTGTCCACCCCATATCAGTTCTATGGTCATCCTTGGCTCTAATGACTGCTCACAAATTTGGTATGTGGCCTTGGAATTCGTGAATCATGAACCCCGATAACACAGTAGTTTTACCAGCACTTCCCGACTATTTCCCATCCAAGGTGAAGTCATTGAATGAATACGGGGCCCAATTTTATTTTGGGAACGTGCTCGATCGATACGCTGGCAAACCTGGTTGGTGCAGACGCAGGAACCTGGTCTTAACTCATCCAGTCCACGCCGGGCCGTTTCGTGCAGTTTACACCAATCTTATTTTTAGACCGTTCTTTCAGGGTTTCACCTAAACCCAATCTGCGTCTCCTTTTGCAAACTTTACTCATTACTCAACACAACCCTGCAATTACAAGTCTACTATGGATCCCCCTCGTGGGTCTCATCGCTTTTCCCTTGTCAATTCCACACTGACCTTTTGAAGCTTTCCCATTCTCTGATAATGAACTGACCAAGATTGGTGTCCTTAATAATGAAGGTGAGTTTCTTCATCCACTTTTAGTACAGTGGCATGCTTTCTACCATCATTCCTTGGCACCATACTGAGAGGGGTGACTCTTCTCCCCTGCCCTCTCGCCCTTTTTGCTGTCTACCAACTGCAAAGTTCATGTCATACTTACCATATTCCGTATAGGGGTCCCCGTCGGACCTGCTGCACATGTACTCGAGATGATGAAAAAACGTCCAGACCTGATCAGCAAGTCTTTTTACTATCTTTCACACCTTTATCAGACTTACCGCTTTCTGTCCAGAGCCCTCCCTGTTTGCTCTTCAGTGTCTCAGCCTCCAGAACTCACTATACAGGCGCCCCAGCTCACCCCCCTCGCTTAATTCCCCTACTTTCAGCAACCCATCAAACTCAACCGATTCCCCTACCGTCACCCTCACCAACGAGGCAACTGTTGTTTCTGAGCATGCTCCTGACACCTATGAACGTATGTGCTATTATACTGGGAACAATTCGGACCACCCGAAACTTGTGTACCGTTCTGATGCTCTCACCACACCATTTCTCAAGCCTGTGGGCAGATTTGCCCGTGTCCCCGTCAAGTCTGTCAGTGGAGTCTTTGATACCCCTTTGAACAAGGTTTGGGATACTGTTGATCCCCAAATTCGTGATATCATGAAGGCGCACAAGATCAAGTGGGTTTCTATTGGCAAAGTTCGCTTCTTCACACATGGTCCAATCGGAGAAGAGGAGAAAGGCAGTCTTGGCCCTGTTGTGATCGTCCCATCAGCAAAATGGGAAAAAGTCCCCGACTCTAAGGAGGGTTCTGTCGAACACGAATGTGCTTTACTGAATGGGTATTTCAATAGCTCCAAAACTATCGTCTAGAAAATTCTATCGGATCTTAAAAAACATCTATATACGGGAACATTGTATTGTCGGAGTTCTGAAATGGCAGCTGGGCTTTCTGGAAGATTCCGTGATCTTCGTTCGGAGTCAAAAAATTCAACATGCTTTATTCACAGAGTGTATTACCTGGATCAATCTACTCAGAAACCCCCTTTCCGGCAGAAACCCTAGGATTTCTCATGGTCAGGTAGAACCCCCCCATTACTAACTGAAAGAAGTATTTATAGAAACCCTACGTCGGAGATGATGGAAAAATCGGACTTTAAATTTCAGGTATGACATAATCGAGTTCAAGCGACGCGTCATCGTCTTCCAACTCAATAGAGGAGATATATGGAAAAGAGTCACATGCAAACCTTGGACCATTCGGGAGGGATCTAGCCACTTGATGAGACAATATTGTGAGGGTTTTTGCCATAGTCAAGGGCAGTGGATGGGATCAATGAGTTGCACTGTACACTCCCAAAGGGATGTCAGAACCGATCGGACCTCAAATATTTTGACCATCGGCAATCAGTGATTTGCTTGTGGTTCCCAGGTTTCTGAAGTGGTTGGATAGAAACCTTAGGGTTTCACGCAGAAAGGGGGGTTTCTGGATAGTTTAATCCGTATTACCTAGTCTAGGTTCACGTGTGGGGTCTGAACGTTGAGATTCTTGCCCTGAAACGAAGCGAGGTACGAGTGCAGGGTTAGGGCGCGGTCTTAGTATAGGGCGTGTGATAGTCTAGGTAGAAATCACTCTCTCTTTCTACCACGACAGTCACCACCCCTCTGAGGTCGTCTGACTGGCCAGTTCTTTTTCCCCACTCTCATTGAGCACCAATCCTTTAAGACACCGTACTCTCCCTATATCCTTGATACAAGCCCATTAATTCTCACCACACAGATGCCACGTCTTACGTTGGACCCGAATTTGGAAGTGAGGCCGGATTTCGCGTCAGCGGCATACGACGCCCTATGCACTGCCCTCGCTGCAGCAGAAGGAGTCGACAAGGGGGCCATTGTCGCCCGCCTCTCCGATGCCTGGAATGTCGAAAACGACGCCAAGAAGGCCACGTGGGACGAACAAGTTAGGCAGGACGAAGCAGAAGAAGCTGAGGCAGAGCTCGCCCCAGAACGCGAGCAACAGCTCGAACTCGAGGAGCGCAGAAAGGTGGAGGAGACAGAAAGGAAGGAGAAAGAAAAGAAGAGGCCAAAGCTCAAGAACTTTGTCCCCAACAAGCTCGTGGGGAATACCGTGCAGCTTCGCCCCTCGCGCTACGCCATCCACAAGCTAGAAGAGCGGGAATACGTTGAGCTCTATTATTTCACCCAGGACGGATGCATGGAAGCCTTGAAGATCGACCGCACCATCGCTCAGGACGCATTCACCTTCACCAAGGCCGACGACACGCTTCTACTGAAGCCCATGGCCTCACACAAGCCATCCAACAAAGCAATCCCCGACGAGCATCTTACCTGGCGCCAAATGTCGCTCGCCAAGACCACGCTGCTGCACCACATGTCCCAGGCAGGATGGAGGTCTTAGCAGTGCCCCCCCTATTCCTGCAGGAATCCGGTCATTCCGGTGGAATTCCGGTGGATTCCGGTGGAATGGAATTTAGCAGAAGGCCCTGCTAAATTGTTTATTCCGGTGTTTTCCATTCCGGTGGATTCCGGAATGTACACCGGAATGTTCCCCGGAATGGTCTTCCCCGGAATGGGCAGGAATGGTGTTCCCCGGAGTGGGCAGGAATGGGATTCCAGTCCAATCTGTTTATTTTATTTATTTATTACTGTATTATAGTTTATTTATTTTCAATGGATCACAAACAATGTTTGTTTGGTGAACATGCTCACCAACATCAGCAAAAGTTCACGTTCCATGTCAGGCCTAGTATATATTGTATGGCTGTACTAACCTAGTGTCTCCCTTGTGTGGCTTTGGATGGGGCTTACCAGGCTAGGAGTCCCTCGCATGGGACGTGAAAGGCTAGTGTAGCCTAGTATGGAGAGTGAAAGGCTGGTACCACCTAGTATGGTATTTACGAGGGTATTATAATCCATTCAAGTAGGTTGGTAGTTTATCACCGGCCTAGTATGCCTGTACCAGGATAGGATTAGCCTATTTTCCCAATATTTTGCCGACCAATTTTTTTTTTCGTTGTCAAATCATATGTTCCTAAAATTGTTTCGCTGAGTTTTTGTTCTGGCTAGTCTAGGATATGATATTTATTGGATAGAATTAGTTTCACAGGTTGGTTGGTTGTATGAGGACGTGTTCGTGCAGATCAGAGATGTTGAGCAAGAAAATGGAGTTGGACGGCCCTCGGGAGGTTCGCGATAAAGTAATTATGACGTCGCCTGGATGTAATGTTCGCTGTGACAAAGACTGGACCAACAATGTTTGAGAATGCCGGAAGCGTCGCCCTTGTGACCTTGGCCTACTTGGACTCCTTCACCCATCTTTTAGCTCCCATCCCCGAGCGCGAGTAGTGCTGAGGAAGCCGCACTTTGGTCATGTACCTCACGGTCTGTAGAGAGATACGGATCACCACCTGGCAATGGCAGCCGAGAAATGAACATACCATAGCCCGTAAGTTGGGTGCTGATGTCCTTCGACTTTATATCCGCAAGCAATTCGGGGAAACTGCGAAGGCACAAGGCGCGGAGGGATTGTACAGCGTCCTAAAGTTCGTTCTTGTCCGTCATGATATCCGGTCCACGACAAGATAGAAGGTCGTCCCAGTGGTTTTGTAGCGATAGCAGGCCCTCAAACACGGATAGGGAAAGGAAAGTGTTCCAGTGGAGGGACTTTTTCACGAGCACTACGGGGGCCGCCAATATCGCATTGAAGAATGTGAGGATGGAAGTCAGCAGCATTCCGAACGCTGACGCCATGAGCGCGGCGCTCGGTAATGGGCTTAGTTCTTGAAGGAGCGAAAATTCCTCCTAAGAACGCAGATAAGTCAAAATTGCAGGGTGAAAGCGAGAGCAACGTACATCCTTGGTGCCCAGAATCAATTCGACCCACTCCCCAAACTCCCTTCCTGTCACAAGCGGATTTACGGTTTCCACACGAGCCACAAGCCGCTTTCCCCGCCCTTCCAGGCACTTCACACTCCAGTTCCCTGGCATGTCGGCGTAGCCTCGTTGCGCCTCTCTCAAAGTCGTCAAGATAAGTTGAGCGGCTGGATGAGTTGGATGCGTGGATGGTACCGGTGTTGTGCGTAAGGAGGGAAGAGGTTGACGACAGGCGATGACGTAGGGTAGGAAGCGGACCTCGGACTCTGATCTGTTTGATCACATGACATTCATCACGCGTTTGGAATTGAACGTTGAACGCTCGTTCTTGCTCTCTGTTCTTGACCATCACCACCACCACCTTTTGTCGTCGTTCCCCATTCTTCTGCTCCCCATTCTCATCCTCCGCTGTCGCTACAACAACTCGCAGTACTGACGGCTCCGGGCTTCTCAGAGGCCATGACGACGAACGATACGCTGCGGCACTCGTTGCCGGTCTTTGGTTAGCAAGCTGTAGAGTGCCTCGGGATAACTGCGTGGTAGTTGCTGGGCTGATCAAATGTCAGATGAGCCTTGGGTGGAGAACTCATCCGTTCACCAGTAAGTAAATCCCATAACCTGAACGCGCATATATGCGAAGTGTTACATAAGTCTGATCTTCATTGTCACACTAGCCTTCATCGTACCCTGACCGCAATCCTTTTCAACATGCAATATCAGCCAGGTGCGGTGTGATCGGTTTTGCACTCTCACCAAGCACGCTCAACGATAACAAGAAACCTCCGTCTCCCTTTATTTTTCTTCGATCGCCATGGGTTCAGACAGCGCGAGTCGTTTCATCTCCCGAACACGCATATACGCACCCATTTGGGGTTCTAACACTTGGAGGTTTACTTTTTAGCGCCTCTTTTGACGCGCAGGCCATTCAAGCGCGCCACGGATCGCTCAAATTGCCCTGGTGTTACCCAGAAAAATGTACGTCTCATCGTCTCGCCCATCGTTCTCTATTAACAAGACTCGGACCGCATCTCAGACTCGAAATGCCAGTCGATATATGTGTTTCATTTAACGCGCGTTAAGCGGCACTCCGGTAAGTCAAATTTCTTTACTTTTAATACTGCTGCATATGTCTGACGTTTCCGTTTGCAGTTTATCTGATAGGTTGGCCCATATTCTCGAGCGTAATCGCCATTTATTCGTTGAGATAAAATTCTCAAATTTCGGACGTGGGGCAGGTTACAACGTCGGTCCCTGTATTAGACAGGTGCGTATCCCTTTCTCTTTTTTTCGCTCTTCATCGTTTCGGTCTCGTATCGGTTGCTCTGTACTTTTTCTTGCTGCCTGCCACATTCTCGTATCGTCGTCAGATTTTGTTTTAGATACTACAAGAAATTTATTTTGTCCGCATTTCATATGAAGTGATCAGAATTCTACATTAAGAATTGTAAATCTAGCTAAGATTGTATGGAAAGGGCTCACTAGGATGGCCTAGTATGGCCTCGCGTGGGGTCGGGATCTTGGACAGCCATGCAAGAAACCGGTCCCATGCAAGGTCTATCACTGGGGATGTAAGCCGAGGTTCCAACCTTGGCCATGGAAGGGAGGCTAACCTTTCATGGCCTATTGGTGCCTCTCATGGCCATTTATGGCCTTACGTGGAACCCGAACTTTTGCTGATGAAACATGGCCACTCTCTTCTTCCACCACCACCACCATGCTCGTCACCGCCGCCAACGCCACGCCATCACCGTCACCCATAGCCACCACCGCCAACATCGCTCCTCGATCACCCATGGCCACCACGACCACCAACATCAGCCACAACACCCTTCAACAACAACGCGACGACGCCACGTCACGAAACAACGAGCGCCGTAACCCACGAAAACACCCAACACCCACGAAAACAACGCCCCCGGACACAAAACGACACCCGACGGGCACAAAACGACGCCCACCGCCCATGTACACCGCCAGCGCCCACGAAAACCATACCCCGCCCACGAAAACATCCCACCACCCACCGAAAAACACGAGCGCCCACCGAAAAACACGCGCCGCCCACCGAAAAACACGCGCCGCCCACCGAAAAACACGCACCACCCACACGACATACGACGGCACCACGCCGCCTACCAAAACCACCACGTCCACACCAACGCCACCCACGACGACGCCCCCAACAGCAACCAGCGCCCACGACGACGGCGACAACAACGTCACGAATAACGCAACAACGCGGACACACGACGCGACGAGGAGGCGACAACGAAATGCGACACAACGATGGGATGCCAACGCGGGACGACGATGGCCGAGGTCCCAGCCACACTCCCTCTCCCCTCCACCATTCCCTCCCTCCCTGCCTCCTTCCCCCTTTCCTTGTCCCTCCCCCTTGCTCCACCATTCCTTCCCCCCTTTCCTCCCTCCCCCTTCCTTGTCCCTCCCCCTTCCTTCCTTCCCTCTTTCTTGTCCTTCCCCCCTTCCTCCCTCCCCTCCCTTGTTCTTCCCCCTTCCTTGTCCCTCCCAATAATAGAAATACACCCCCACCTTGTCCCTCCCCTACCCCCTCCCTTTAAGATAAACTGTGTAATGTGTGTAGTAATACATTTCAAATACATCCCCACCTTGTCCCTCCTCTACCCCCTCCCTTTAAGATAAACTGTGTAGTGTGTGTAGTAATACATTTCAAATAAATTACAACTCAATCTATGACTTCTACATGTGAATTTTATAAGGAAATATGAGTGCCAAGTCATCAGGATAAGCTTGGAGTTGAAAAAAACTTACTCTGCTTGATTCCAGTCCTATTCCTCTGGATTCCTTTGGAATTCCTCTGGAATTCCACTGGAATGACTCTATTCCTGCAGGATTCCCCTGGAATTCCACTGGAATGATCCCATTCCTGCAGGATTCCTGCAGGAATAGGTGGGGCACTGTAAAGTACTGGCAGGATGGCCCGAGCACCTCGTCATCGCCCTGGCTGAGTTCTACCTCAATCTCGAGGGCCACCCCATGCGCCACGAAGTCGACGGAGACACCGTTCTCCTCCACTACCAAGCCCAGGTCAGGCGCGAATGGCATGAAGCCCTCAGGGGCGCTGACAACGACAACGTCTTCGACATCAGCACCATCAATGACAGGCGCGTCGACGCCATTGGGTCCCAAATCTGGAATGCCCGGCGCAATGAAGGGGTACTCAGGTTAGTGTGCCCTTCTGTCCTCGAACAGCCCACCAGAACTAACGTCCGTGTTTCACCCCTTTCACCCCTTGACATTCACCCATCCCAACCGTACACCCACCCGCCATCGTACGCACCATGCACCTTGCACCTGCTCCCTGCGCTATGCGCCCCATGCCTGTGTTCGCTATGCACCACGCACCCATGCATCACATGCACCCACGCACTGCATGCATCATCTTGTGCCACATGCACCATGCACTCCCATGGTGCCTTAACTATCCACTGTTGTGTAAATATGCGCCCTTGCCCATCATTGTACATACATACACGCCCTTAACTTGTACATATACACATGCACACTGCTTTCTGCCTCATGCGCCCCCTCTGCTTCCTCGTTTGGCTGACATCAGGCTTGAAGAGCAGATGTCCAAGACCTCTGTCTCAGACCACACACAGGCTTCTCGCACGCATGGCCAGAAACGCGGCCGCTCCCCTTCGCCCTCCCCGAATCAAGGACCCAGGGGAAGGAACAGGCACCTCGCCAATCGCATGACAAGACGAGGTCGCCGATCCCCCAGCCCCCCACAGCAACCAAAGCAGGCCTCTCCAACCAGAGACACCAAACGTCGTTGCGTCACAAAATCTGGCACGGGGTTTTTTCAGGCGGGTGCAGCTGGAAATGGGGCCTTCTCCGCCTGCACCATCTGTCTCGGCCGTGGCCCCCACAACGTCTTCAAGTGCGAGTCCGACACCCTGTGGGATGGCACCCCCGCTCGATGCAAGAAGAACAGCAATGGCCGCCTTGTCAACCCAGCAGGCAACATCCTATGCTCCGACTGGCAGCGACCAAATGGCTGCTCATCCACCACCCACGACTCCCGTCACGAATGCTCCATGTGAGGGGTCAGTATCCCTCTCCTGTGTTATTCCCCATTCAACGGCGTCATATTCTTCATACATCACTTCCAGAGAGTCACCTTCAGTCACGGTTAGTCACATAGTCACACTCGGTATAGTCACTCCATAAGCACATGTAAAAACTTACTTCTTACTACTATCAACTCTTTTGCCAACTTGACGTTTGAGCATCGTACTCACGACTCATCTCAAGTCCTGTTAGAAGAAACATCTTAGGAAGACAAAGGTCAGTTCTATTCAGAATAACTTGGGAGCTCGTGTCTCCCGTTAGCGTTAACAACTCTCTTCGTTTTCCCCAACGATAGAGATTTGGTTATACTTCCTACGGCTTTCCGAGGAAGCAGAACTGTCTATGCTCGTGGCTATCCAGGGCATAGTAGACGTTCGCGTAACCAGGTCTTCTTTCCGTTCGTTAGATATTAGACCGTATTCTAGGGTCTTCACACCTAACCGCTCTACGCGAGTCATTATGCTCGTCAGGACTCGATTGTCGCTGTCTCAACCCCACAACTCGGCTTAACCCCTCGAACAGGGTAGCGCAAAGGTGGACACTGTGGGAAATAGCGGCAACCTGGCTGGTGTACCAGCAAGTCTCGGAGAGGACGATAAAGTTAGATCGAGCAAATCAGGGGTTGCACGACCAAGGCGAGGAGCACCTCCCTCTTCCTTAAGCTTACCTACCCAGAGATCTTCTAGATCGAGCTCGCCATCGAAGCGATCAACTCCTACGAACTACCCGCTTTCGGACAACGCTCTTCGTTCTACTTCATCTCCTCAATCACTCGCTAGCTACAATCGCCTTTCAGTCATCACGCCGGCGGCTCCGAAATCAGCTCTACGAATCGACTCCTCGAGTCGCACTTCAAACTTCAATCAAACGGTTAGAGGAGCAACTGCTAGTAGCAAGACTGTGACCTTCCGGCACCATCTATTTCAACCTACAACAAATCCTGTCAAAACGACGTTCCAGCCTCGTTCAGATTCTACTACAGAGTCTAGCTTGGCTTTTGATTTCAAATCGCCTACTCCCATCACTCCAACCACCGACGTTACGGTATCAGGCGAAATACTACTCTCTCCTCCGTCACTACTTCCTGACACATCTTCGCACTCTCACACTCTTCCGAATAACCCGAATCCGAGTCCTACAAATTCCCCTTCCGTTTCTACTATATCTTCGCAAAATACGTCGATACAAGAAGTAGGAGATATGTCAACTACTGAAACCAATCTGACACAACCGTTCCGTCCGGGTGGCGAGAATGGCTATGCCGACTCGCCTATGGCTAGACTTATGCTAGAGTATCAGGAGGAAAGAGACGAGGATCCGTCTACGCGACAACGGGCTATGAGCTTATATGCGAAAAAGACTTTAGCGGCTAGGGATCTCATATACCTAGATACGGCCGACGCTAATATCGCGCTAGTAGACGACTTACTAAGTGAAGTGAGTCAGGTCTTGGGGGAGCTTCAGACTTTCCTAGAAAGGACTTCCGGATTAATACCGGAGAGGTCAAAGTTCTTTAAAGTCGACCCAAGGAATAGTTTTATGGACGTCTTGCGCGGAGCTACAGATTTACCACAATTACATGCAGCCTGGGCTGGGCTCAACTGACGCATCGGATTAGCCCAGGAGAATTTAATCAAATACGAAGCTCAGTATCGTCAACCCTTCAAATCCTCGGATTTCGTTGTCCCAACTTCACCGATCTCGACAGACCCAGAAATTTACGAAGCAATGTCAGATCTAGGAGAATTAGATTCGAAAATGAGATACTTATACCAGAGTGTACCTCATCTTCAAGATGAAATTCAGTCTCCAAGGAAGCTGACGGATGGTTCGGCTTGGAACGATATAATTCCCCTCCCGGAAAATCTAGCCGAACTACATTACAATTGGCAAGGTAATGCTATAAGTACTTCGAGCGGTAAAGAAAAAGGGAGAGATATGAATAACAACGGGAGTCTTCCTACTTCCCCTCGAATGTTGAATGTTGGCTACGGCACGCCCTTTCGTTCCAGTTCGCAGTTTTTTAGTAAACCGGATAGACAAAAGTTTCCGTTACCTGTTCCCAGCGTTTTAGCGAATCAAAATGTTTTAGTGGGGCTAGGCTTACCGAATACTCCAGCATTCCAAAACATAGATGACATACCTCCTAGGCGACTGCATGGATTGCGAGCACAATCGAGGCAATCAAACCCTTTTGAACAAAGGAGTCAGACAAACTTGAATATTGGGACATCATCTAATCCCTCTAATTTTCCTCGCAACTCAGACTTCCATAACTCCAATCTCCTTAGTCAAGGTACGAACGGGGGAGGAAGCGGCGGAAATGGCGATCCTCCTGGAGGAGGAAATGGGGGGCGAGGAAACGATCCCCGTAGGAATCAAGATGCAGAAAGCAATGAGGATACGGAGCAAAACAATAACCGTTACAATGCGTTTCCTCGGAACAACGGTGGAAGTGATCCTCCCGGAGGAGACCCCCCTGGCGGCGGAGGAGGAAATGGTCCTCCAGGAAGAGGAAATTTCGGGAATCCTAGAAATGATGGTCAGAATTCGGGACTGATACCCTACGGGGACACTAGAGCTACCATTAGAAACGATCTGAAACAAGATCAACTGCCCGTTTGGGACGGGAATAAGAATTCAGCAATAGAATACTTCTGGAAGGTGCAGCAGTTAGTGGCTCTTGAAGGGGATATTCCACAAGCTTTGGGTTACTGGCTATGGAAAAGCTTGAAGGAGAATTCCAAGATTTGGTGGTGGTTCTCAACTTTACCGTTTGCAGAACAAGCAAAGATGAGAACACACTATCTATATTATCTCAAGGGAATCAAGGACAATTACCTAGGAAGAACCTGGCAGATCAGTATGAACACTAAGTACGAGAGTCAATCCTTCTGACAGGAAGGTTACGAACGTGAATCCCCTCCTGCATTCATTACACGGCGCATCATGTACACCAGAATGCTCGCAGCTTCGGACGATGGCGGGCCGACGGAAGTATACTTAGTGATGCAGAAGGCTCCCATTTCTTGGGGACCAATTTTGAACATAGAAACCGTCCGCGGCACTTCCTTACTATATTCGCGAGCCACAGATCATGAATACGCGCTAATTCATGCGGCTAAATATGAGTCATCTAACATTCTTACTACCGAGAATTTGCCGGCTACATTGAAACGCTTGGGTATTAACTTGGATAGGAACCGCACTTACGATCGAACAGCAAATCTCGTCAGTTCGAAAGAAGAAAACGATGTCATACATGAGGCTTTTCTTGGACAGTTAAGTAGGGAAGAATGCGAACAAGGAATTTCGAATGACCCAGAAGCAATACGAGAAGCCTTTCAAGTATTGAAGAAAAGGCAACGTCCTCCTCCGAAAGGAGGGTACCCCTACAGTAAAAACGACCACGTCACCACTAAGCTAGGTCGTTTACCGCCATCCCCATGCAAGGTATGCGGGAGCGACAACCACTGGGATAGAGAGTGTCCTGATTGGGACGTCTATCAAGCTAAACAACAGAAATCCGCTTACCGAATTGAACTAGTCGAGGTAGAAGATTTGGAACAATACTACAGCAGCGTGTATTCTGTGCTAGTAGCAGAGAGGTTAGCAAAAGAACATCGTCCATCACGAGAGACAGAGGAGGATTTTGACGAGGCAGTTCTACGAACACAGGGTCCCACCCTTGAATCAAGAGAACGTAAGACCGAGGACACGTCAAAACCATGGAGTAGGCAGACGGCATTCGTAGAGGAAATCGAAGACGAATACTGGGAGGAATACAGAGCAAAAGAGAAATCTAACTCTCACTTGTTGTATCAAATCGGTGACGAAGATGACGCGGAAGAGCGCAAGGAAGCCTACTCGTCCTCCAGAGGAGAAGGTCCTAGAGCTGAAAACGCAGATCCAGAATGCAATAAGGTGAAAGAGCCTAAAGTTTCTCCAACGCATGATTCCCCCCCTTTCGTCTTTGATCATACTGCCCCGAATGGAGAGAAACCTGCCGAAGTCAAAGACCCTCCTCCAGTCAAGCTTGATCCGCCTCCTTCAAAAGAAAAATGCATACGTATCCCTAAAGTTAGAACTAGACCAGAAGGAATGTCAGCAATCGGCGTTTCAGTATTATCAACCAGGGGTTTTGTTGGATCTTTGAAGAACAGCGAGATTGATCTGCGGCTAGATTCATGCGCAGACATAACTCTGATTTCCAGTGAATTCTACGAGTCGTTAGTAGATAAACCGAAGATGAAGCAAGGAATGCGTATGCAACTTTGGCAACTGACAGATAAAGACTCTAAATTGAAAGGATTCGTTCGCATACCTATTTTCATGGTTTCAGATACAGGGGATATTGTCGAAACGGAAGCAGAAGCTTACATTGTACCAAATATGACAGTTCCAATACTCTTAGGAGAAGATTATCAGCAAACATACGAAATGGGCGTTACTAGGAATGTAGAGGAAGGTACTCACGTATCGTTTCGTCGCCATGACTATCGGATTCGAGCTCTCCCGGTGGAACGTTCGAAGGATTTTGACCGCTTACGGCAAAGTGCTTATATGGTCGGTCAATTCGTACGAAGGCGCCTTCACAGACGCAATAAGGGCAAGCGCCATCGCCGAAAAGTGAAATTCGGACTTGAAGAGAAAACTGTGAGAGCCGCTGAGGACTATCGTCTGCGACCACATGAAAGTAAACCTATCAGAGTGGAAGGTCAATTAGGAGAAGATCGCGAGTGGCTAGTTCAGAAAAACTTACTCGCAAATGCAAATGATTCCTTTTTTGCTGTCCCCAACGTCCTGATTTCAGCAGCGCATCCTTGGGTACCAGTTGCGAATCCTACGGATCAACCTCGTTATATAAGAAAGGGTGAGATTATAGGATCGATATGCGAGCCAGAGAAGTTCTTCGATAGTCCCAGTTCGCCAGAAGAACTCCTACGATTCCAAGAAGCAGCCGAGAGGATACGGACAGTAATAGCTGTACAATGAATCACGATAACTCTAACAACCAAACTGAGGGTCAAAAAGAAGAGGAATCAGAACCTGAGGAATACGGACCGAAAACGGCAGCCATGCCAGACCCAACGATTTACCCCTCCTCGCAGCTCGAGGATTTGATCGATGTTGGCAGTTTACCTGAGTACTTGAAAGAGAGAGCATGGGCTATGCTGCGTAAGCGAATTAAAGCATTCGGTTTCAATGGAAGATTGGGAGACCTACCAGCCAAAGTCCATATACGGACGGTCGACGGACAAGTTCCCATTTCCATGCCCATGTACAATTCATCTCCTGAAAAAAGAGCGATCATTAATGAACAAATCGACACGTGGTTTGAACAAGGAGTAATCGAACCTTCTAAAAGTCCTTGGAGCGCACCCGTAGTAATAGCTTACCGCAATGGCAAACCGAGATTCTGTGTTGATTATCGAAAACTGAATGCAGTAACGATTCCGGATGAGTTTCCTATACCCCGTCAGGCAGAAATTCTTGCTTCGTTAGCGGGAGCACAAGTCCTGTCCTCCCTGGACGCCTTATTGGGTTTTACGCAATTGGAGCTAGCAGAAGAAGACATAGAGAAAACAGCCTTCAGAACTCATCACGGGCTATTTCAATTTCGAAGACTGCCTTTCGGATTGCGCAATGGGCCTTCGATTTTTCAGAGAGTAATGCAGGGCATCCTCGCTCCTTACTTGTGGATATTTTGTTTGGTCTATATAGACGACATCGTCATTTACTCTAAATCTTATGAGGAACACATCGACCACTTGGATAAAGTCTTGGAGGCCATAGAGAAAGCCGGATTGACTCTTTCACCGAAAAAATGCCATTTGTTCTACGGTTCTATCTTACTACTAGGACACAAAGTTTCACGCTTAGGACTATCCACGCACGCGGAAAAAGTTAAAGCTATTATGGAACTGGAACGTCCGAGAAAGCTGTCTCAATTACAAGCCTTTCTAGGAATGGTGGTTTATTTCTCTGCGTTCATACCCTACTACGCATCGATTTGTGCTCCCTTGTTTCAACTACTGCGCAAAGGTCATAAATGGACATGGGGCATAGAACAGGAACATGCCTTTCAATCAGCTAAGTCAGCTCTGAATTCCAGTCCAGTCCTGGGTCACCCCATGGAAGGTCTCCCGTATCGATTATACACCGACGCTTCAGACGAGGCTTTGGGTTGCTCCTTACAACAGATTCAGCCAATTAAAGTAAGAGATCTGAAAGGAACACGCACCTACGATAGGTTGAAGAAAGCATATGAAAGCGGCCAAAAACCCCCCCAACTAGTCGCTGCGATAGGGACAGGGAAGAAGGACTCGAACTTTGAGGATGAATGGGCTCCAGATTTCGACGACACAATCGTGCACGTGGAGCGAGTCATTGCTTATTGGTCAAGACTGTTCAAAAACGCAGAAACGCGGTACTCAACTACGGAACGCGAAGCACTAGCCGCGAAGGAAGGACTGGTTAAATTTCAACCCTTCATAGAAGGGGAGAACGTACTATTAGTGACAGATCATTCCGCCCTGCAATGGGCAAGAACATATGAGAACGCTAATCGTCGACTTGCCGCTTGGGGGGCTGTGTTTTCAGCATACGCTCCCAAGTTAGAGATCGTACATCGCGCCGGCAGAGTACATTCCAACGTGGATCCTCTTTCAAGACTCCCGAGGGCTCCACCTCCGCAGACTTCCCCTTTAGAATTCAATGAGCCAGTAATTCGCGCTAAAGAAAGTTTGGATGAAAGACAGGAAGTCAGCGTTCCAGCCGAGAGGATGGCAGCCTACTCTTTTGCGGCATGGTCAATTGAAGACTGTCTAGATTTTCCGAAGGAAGCAATGATTAATGTGCGGTCCCGGAATAAAAGAGATGACATTACCATAAGTGCAGAGAGCGATGTTCCTCAATCCCGTCAACCCCCGCCTTCCGAAAGCGACAACGACGAGTTAGACACATTAACTCCGACGGCGGAGTATTGGGGAGCCACAAATCCTCCCCCCACCATCCATTTAGCCATGAGCGAGGAGGCGAAGACGGAATGGAAGAAGGATTACGCCGACGACCCCGCTTTCAGCGCTATAGCGACAGATCCGAAATTCTTGTATGAAAACGTCACCCCAGGACGCCGATTCTTCAGGGACGAAGACGGTATGATCTTTTTCAGTAACGAGGACTACCAGCCTCGCCTTTGCGTACCAAAGGGTAGGAAGAACTTTGTCTTGCAGGAAGCTCACGAAAACGCCTTAGAATCAGCCCACGCAGGCCCAGAGCGTTTGTGGCAGTCCTTGAGTACGCGATTCTATTGGAAGCGAATGAAAATCGACATCGAAAAGTTTTGTAAAACCTGTGACATTTGTCAGAAATCAAAATTTTCCAATTTCAACAAGTTTGGTCTGCTAATCCCGAATCCTATTCCCTCTCGGCCTTACCAATCCATATCCATGGACTTCATTGTTAACCTGCCCTGGTCGGAAGGGTACAATGCAATTTTTGTGGTAGTGGATCGTCTGTCGAAGCATGCATCGTTCATTCCAACGACGACAGGTCTAGACACCGAAGGTTTCGCTCATCTGTTCGTCAAGTGGATCGTTTGTAGGTTCGGATTGCCGGAGAGCATTATCACAGACAGGGATCCGAGATGGACGACGGACTTCTGGTTGGGAATCGCCAAAGCTCTACAGACACGCATGAGTCTATCGTCGTCTCACCATCCACAGCACGATGGACAAACCGAGGTGGTCAATAAACTCCTCACCACGATGCTGAGGGCATTTACGTCTGGGAAGAAGTCGGAATGGGCGAAGTGGCTTCATTTGTTAGAATTCGCCTACAATAGCGCAGTGCACTCGTCGACAAGCGCAGCTCCTTTCCACCTCTTGTTAGGGTTTCATCCACGTACTCCGCTGGACTTTTTGGGAACCAAGAGAAATGACGATGTCGTAGGCCGCGCTCTGAGTCCTGAAGCGGTTACGTTCCTTGAAAATATGGCTATGCACAGGGATAGCGCTAGGCGCGCCATAGCTAAAGCTCAGGATCAGCAAGCGCGTTCTTACAATAAAGGGCGGAAACCGGTACCTCACTTGAAGAAGGGTGACCGAGTACTGATAAACCCACACGCGTTGGAATGGATCGAGTCCAAAGGCGAGGGGAAGAAGCTCACCCAGCGCTGGATCGGGCCCTTCGAGGTGATGCAGAGGATTAACCCCAATGTCTACCGCCTTAGAATGAGCAACCTATACCCAGGCTTGCCAATCTTCAATTATCAACATCTGAAAAAATATGAGGAGTCACCTACCGAATTCGGAGGAAGGATCGTGCTCCCTGAAACGCGCACCACTGCGCCGGCCAAAGAAGAGTATGAGGTTGATCGTATTGTGGCAGAGCGCAGGACACGGAATGGTCTTCAATATCTAGTTCGGTGGGAGGGTTACAGTCCTCTCTATGATACCTGGGAACCCAGGAAGGCACTCACCAATGCCCCAGAAGTCGTAGCCAAATGGCAGAAGCAACGCGACGAGAAGGGTCCAGGTGATTTGTAATACTACCACATGTTAACTTATCTCGTCTAGATCAGCGATCGATCTCGCTGATAGGCGACTTGTTACCCATTCGCATTTCGTTTGTTCTTTTGTTCTTTCCTTTCTCTTTTTCTTTACTACTTTTCTTAACAACATCTCACTCCCCTCTGCTTTCAAATCCCATGGAGTTCTTCCTGTACACGGACAACGACGGAATCGTCCCCACGTCTGGTCACGAGGTCATGACAGCAGGCGAATGGGTCGCTCTGAACGCGTCAGCCGGCAAGATTCCTTCTACGGACGTCTTCCAACAGGCTCTCGAGGATCGGGCATTTCAACCAGGAGAGCTATGCGCGCGTCCAAACGCCTGGACGTGGACGAAAGAGCCAGCCTGGTACAGCCAACGGTATCACTGGGACGCATGGAACATGATTGACTACTTCCCGGACGAGCACGATACCATTCCTTGGTATTTCAGCGAGGGTAACACGCCGAGGGTCGGCTCAGGTGGGAGGTTCTACCTGGATACAAGCTTCCAAGAGAAAGCTGCGGATTCTTTAGCGAAGTTATGGCTCTGCATTGAATCTATCATTTCTAACCCTCCTTTTGTCAAGGGCACCGATCACCCGATGAGGTTCAACCCGCTACGCCTCCAAGCAGGCTCGGAATCTTCAAACAGCGTGGATTCTTTGGCACGAGAGGCTCGAACGAAAGCCTTGGAGTTTTTAGGCTTCCTTAATTGGTGGTCATTGTCGGTCACTCACTGGGACGCCTCCCTGCAGCCGTGGATGATTGACTACGTTGCCGCTCTACATCTACGGAGCCTCAAGAAGAGAGGGGTTTTCTTGGATTTAGTACGAAATTGGCACCATCATAACGTCGCACACTGGGTAGCGGAGGATGTGCCGGTCTATTACTATTGGATGGAGGACCATACACAGTACCCCAGCCTCAGTCGACTTTCTCCCCGCATCCTACAGGCGTATCACGACGCATGTACCGCTTTGGACAGGACAGAAGCCTCCGCAGACGACATTATGGGCTACGACGACGAAATCGCTACTATCCGCGGACATGACGAATTCCTTCAACAGCGACTGGAACCAAACCACACTACTTCCCCCCTCTTTATCGACATCCCATCTACGGCCACGGTTTACATTGTTGATTTCGAAGGCTGGGCCCGACGTCCCATCACCGACTTCATTACAGTTCAGGATTACACGGAGCGGTTTCACTTTTTCATCGACATGGAAATGACGGGCGGCCTAGTGACGATTTGGAGATGGAAACCGAGGGTATTCAATGACGGTTCAGGTCACAGAGCAGGAACAGAAGGCTTGGGCTCCAGTGTAGAAGCCCGACGCGGGGATCGAGAGATCAGGGAGATCTTCAAGAGCCTATATGCGCCTTCAGCGAAGGAATGCTTTGACAGATGGGGTCGACTCCGCCTTCCAGGCGAAGTGAGCAGTGGTTCATCCGTAGGCTCAGATAGTCCATCCATACATTCCCCAGCAGCGGAAGCCCCAATCCAAATGCTGCCTCGTCCGAG